AATGCTTTCTGATGGCTCAATAATAAGTCTGAAAGTTGCTTTAATTGCATTCTTTGGCACTGCACGTACAGTCAGCTCTGTATCAAGAAGAAAACAGCCCTGCTTTATACAAAAGAGGAAGAAAATGGAACAACTTTGCTGAAAACATCTACAGAAAAAACATTTTTCCTCTTTGGCATGAGAATAGAGATGAATACTATTGTGCGGGTGTGTACCTGAGGCTGTATTGGTCAAGTATTTGTGTATGTGTGTGTTTCTCTGCCAGCCAGTGTAATAGCAATGACTGGTGTTGTCTCCTCAAGCACACAATAGCCTGGACACCCAGACAAAATGTCACTCGACAGGCCTGTCTCTTCTATCTCTTTCATCCTCCCATCCTCCCTCTCCTCATTCCTTCCTTTCCGCTGAAAGGGATGTAATGACATGGACGAGTGACAGAACCGCAACATGAAAAGCTGTGACACTGGGCCACAATACGTACATTTGTGACTAAACATCTTGGAGACATGAAAGAGCCCTAACAGATAGATAATTGGCTGTGGTTGCTGCTTCTCAAAGCGAGCGGAAGACAGGGAAGGACTGCAGCCGTCAAAACACATCAAGGTTAATGGAGGATTTTAGAAATGTTGGGTTCCTTCTAAATCTCTGTATCAGGAGAGGGAGCACGCTAACCAGCAGGCAAAGCTTTGGGCACACAAAGGATACTCCTCTGCAGCCTTGTATTTTTATTTTTCATTTTTGTTGTTACCCTGCTGTATTTCAATCTGATACTCAAGAAACTATGACAGATGAATGACACTTCTGACATTTCAAATAGTATGACCATGCAAGATTTCCATTTCAGAGAGCAGCCCATTTCGTTGTATAATGACAAATGTGGGGCCTCTCTGCAGTGTTCCCATCTGTCTTGTTACTTGCAAACCACAAACAAAGCACAATCTTCATTTTCACGCTGAGGAGAGGCTGTTTGCACTTTATTTGCCTTGCATTTAAATTCCCAAGCAGAATAAAGACGCATCGCCACCAGATATACCTAACAATGCAGCTAACAAGAATGGGAAATTGGATTTTCAAAACAACCCAAGGCAGTACATTAAGCTGAAAGAAAAGTGAGATTCCAGGTGTGTATCTACTTGTTTTTGAATGAAAAATGGATAGTAAGAAGGGAACATTGCTTCTTTCTTTGTCGTCTTCATACCATTCAAATGTCATGAGGTTGGAATTAGACACATCTCCTCTTTCGAAAAAAGTTAGGATGATGTATGTTTAACAAAGCAACAACAGAATTTGATGTTCTGCAAATCACTGAACTCATCTATTTAGTTGAAGTAGTGCAAAGAAAAAAATTCAAATGTTTTAAGTTTAAAGGTTTTTAATAAATACATGCTCATTTTAAATAAACTGCCTGAACATTTTTCAAAAAAGTGGGACAAAGACATAAAATACTGAAAAAGCAGTGCTGCCAGGGAAAACCTGGAGAAACATCTCACTCCTGAGGTTATTGGTAACTGATAGATCCTGTTTTTTACAGATGTGCTATGTGATGAACTTAATTTACCTTTAGTCTTGTCCTCACTTCCCCTGTGTACTTTCGGACAACAGGACGAACTTAAGCTTGCCCTTTCTGTGCCCTCACTTCTCTCTGCATATTAAGAGAAGTGCTAACAGCAAGTTTGACGTTTGACATTTTCAACTCATTGTGTGGTTTCGACAACTGCAGTTTTTTGTCTCACATATACAGTATTTAACAGTTTTCCCCCCAGGTCGACCAATGATAGTGCCTTAGATGGAATATGTCTAATATCTGTTGTTTAGCAACAAATATGAAGTCACCAAACCTCAGTGAGATTTGGTAACTTCGACTGTTAGCACACTCTCTGTTACTACTTCTACTCAGCTTGCAATAAAATTCAAAGACAATAGATTGACTCGAGATCTTTTATTGATTCTTGTTAGAAGCAAAGTTTATTATCAAAACAAGACCACTCTGTGAGGGAGTGAAAATCATTCAGTACTTTCTGAATAATGTTCCTCAGCACAAAGAATTTGTCATTAGAGTTGACTCCAAATATCATTAGCTATATTACATTTTGAGTGCAGGCTCTTTAAACCTGGCTCTGTGATGCAAGGCCTAATAGTGAGTTAATGTTTTTAAAGTTTAAAAGCGTCATAGCAAATCAATTACCTTGATCCCTCTGGCTGAATAATCGTGATACATTTCCTGTTTGCTTTTTCATTGAATCACCTATGATTGTCAATTAACCACTATTCAAAGAGAAGCAGAGAGAAAAATTTAGAGTTCAGGAATGGCAGAGGTCATTGCTATTACAACATCACACAAGTTAAAGGAAATGAATGAGTTTATTACCTGAGCATTCACATACAGGGAGGATTTGTGTTAAGGGGCAGCTGTGGGTCAGTGGTAGAGTCAGTCCACTCTCATTCAGAAGGTTGGGGGTTTGATTCCAAGTTACGCTGTCCACATGCCAAAGTGTCCTTGGGTAAGATACTTGACTCTGCTGACCCCAGCAGTGAATGGGATTAATCAAAAACTGCTGGGCTCCATAGCAGTATCTGCCATCAGTGTGTAAATGGATGGGTGAATGTGATGTGTGAGGTAAAAGCATTAGAGTGGTCAGAAGTGGAAAGTTCTATGAACACACTGTATTTACTATAGTCCATGTATATGTCATCTCTGAACCATTTTAAATTGAATATAGAGTTTAAATGCTCTGCAAAACATCATATTTTGTTGTTTAAACACATGTAGTGTCTCAACGTTATTTGAATGTGGGTTGTCAGATAAAAGTGTGCAGCAGCAACTGCTGTGTAAATATTTAGTATGTTCCACAGGCTGCACTCTCTATTTCAAAAGGAAGTGCTTATTCGTGTAAAAGAAGTGCTTTTGCTGGGGTGTGTTTTCTTGAGAGAGGGTTGTTTCCCAGGGTGACAGCTGGATCAAGATAAGGAATGCCAGGGTCAAATAATCTGAGAGGATCAGACTCGTTTATGGACACGCTTCTGCTCAGACACACTGAGGTATGTTGGACAGGGAAGCATTTACAAGACAGCGGAGGACAGGTGGCTGGCTGAAGTGAGATGGATATCGTCTGTTGGAGGAACCTCACAGCACTCAGCTGCAGGGACTTGGAGATAATTTGCTGCTTGTCTGTGAAAACAAGATGTAAAGCCACACTTCATTGTTGTCCATGCCTTTCTGTCTGGAATGGAAATGACCTGCATTTATATGTATGTGGGTGGACTCTGTGCAGCGATACCAAGCTTTCTTCTGCACACAAGCAGCATGCATGCAGCAAAATTTAGGTACACTGAGACGGAGCTCAAAAGTTAGCCTTTACACACCCTCTCGGCTTCAGGTTCAGTTCACAGTTGCTGATGAAGGCCTTGATTCATAAGGCTTATTTTTAATTAGCTGCATGGTCATTAAAATGTGTTAATTGTATGCATTGTTTTATTGCTGTGTCAAAGTCAGCTAAGGACGAGGCATGGCGGAAGCTGTGGTTTAGCGGTTCTCCAGTAATGCAGTGTGACCCTGTGTAATTTCAAAATGATAATTGGAAGAAGTCCCCCTGCCCCCTCAATGAGCACACAAGCAAACCCTCACACACACTCCTTCTATAGTTTAACTTTGCAGATGAGAAAGCAATACAGCACCCCCTTTTGGTGGGTTCTCTGCAGGGATTAGTGCACTCACATCAAAGGGTAATAACCGCATCAGTCTCTGACACCTCTGCTGGCAGGAAAACACATCAAACATTCAGAGTAATTCACCAAAGAGAGAAATTCACCGGTGCTTTCCAAATTGTAGTGATGGACAAATCGCTAAGTGCTGCACGCTAATGCACCCTCCGCACCGTTGAGCCTATCATTCAGAATTATGTGGCAATTTGGTGCATACAGTGCTGGAAATAGGGGCAACCCTTACTAAAGCTGAGCATCCCCTCTGTGTAGAAAATTAATTATTCATACCAAAGAGGCACAATGGAGTAATTTGGCCTGTCATGAATAATGCATTTAAAGTGTGGGGTTTTAAACAAAGCAGAGCTGAAATAAATGGAAGTGTTTGATTTTGTTTACTTATCTGTAAAGTAAAGCTCGGTAAACAGCAGTATTTTTGTTTGTTAAGTTTACAACAAAAACAAGAACAAAATGATAAAAAAGAGATCATTTTACTTTGTCCCTCTTTTCAGAAATTTACAACATGGGAACTGTGAAAATCAGAATTAGGCCAGGGAGTATAAAATGTCTATGCTCAAAAAGGCCTGTCTATAGCTTTAGTGAGAGGCTTGAAGGCATCACTTTGTTGGTTAAGTGTCATGTCAGAGTCAGAACTACTTAATAAAGTTTTAGAATTTGCAGAGGGCCTGAAACTGTGACAAACTTATACCATTTCTCAGCAGACACATCATCATTTCAGGAAATACCAAAGAATTGTATGTTGTACAGATAAAGAAATCATGAAACAACAAAATATTTTCTAAATTTAGGAAAACAATTAACCAAAAATAGTAATTAATTTCATAAGCAGAAAAATAAACAATCTACACAACATAAAAATGTTCCATAAAATACAAAAACGATTTGCAAAACGCAAGTGTCTTCTTACAAAAACAAAAGAATTACAGAAACATACAAAATAACTCTTGAACCACAAACAAGAACAGTATTTCATGAAATAAAAAATAAAATAAACAAAAATAAATTGAGTACCTACAGTATTTATCCATTTAAAGACATATGAATGTATTTTTTTGTTTATGCTTTTGTGATCCATGTAGGTTGCTTTTGTTATAGTTCGCCAATGTTTTTTTAACAGCACAAAATACTTTTGTGAAATGTTTTGGCATTTAGTGACATTTATTTGCATTTCATGATTCATTTTTGTGCACCCTTTATGATTTGAATTTATAATGCGTTTCATTAAATATTTTGTGTTTCGTAAATTGTTTGTTACAGTTGACCATCAGGGCCACCATACCGAAGTCTTAAACTGAATGCAGTAGCGTTTGCGCCGCTTGTAATGACCCAGCGGAAGGTCGTGGTAGGAAAACGATATGACCGTGAGACTTGAGGGAGCTAAACTAAGTTGTATTGTGATATCTTTTTAAAGATCTTTGCAATAATATTTTGTTGTATTTTGTTTTATTTTTCCATTTTATTCTTACTTCTGCTCACAGCCACACCTCTCAAGCGCGGTATTAAAGAAATAATGTGTAAATGCCAACATTTATTAAAAGGCCATTCTAACGCTGACTTGGCGTGAGGGATTCCTCCACTGTTACTGGAAGAAAATTGCACTGTAAGTGAGGCAAAGTGCTTTATGCTTTCCATTTGCGTGTCCCCAAATGGCCGTTAACTGCTAATCTGTACCACCGAAAGGCAGGAGTACGAGGTTTAAAAGAGACAGTGAAGGCAGCATATCAACGACTCTTCCGTTTATCTGCTCAACACGCAGCTCCAAAACATGACCGCTGCTGTTGCTGTCCGGAGGTTAGCTGCCCTGTCCGGGGCTTCGGCCGTGGCAGCTGGAGCATACGGGGCCCACGGTATGGATTGTGCACTAGACTTCCTCTGTACTCACGCACGAGTTTGTTTGTTTGTTTGTTTGAATGGATAGCAAAACCCAGTCACGTGAATGTTTGCCGCACCAGTCATCGCTTCCAAAATTCCTAGAATAAGATCAGTCGGCTTGTCGTCAGGGCTGTAAATGTCTTACAGCATAACAAACACATGTGAACGTGTTAAATAGACTGAAGAATAATTCGGCTTGTAAATGAAACACGCAAAAGCTTGATATTGTAGTTACCAAGACAATTGTGTAATAAAGGTGACCCGCCTCCAGAGTGTCATGGTGGAAGGCAGCTAATTGTTTCAATGGCACAGTGCTGTCAGAAAAGTGATTGCTTTTTGCGCCTTCTTGTAACTTTAGTGACACTCCGAAGACAGGCGCTGTTCAAAATGCTTGCATACGGTCAACCAGTGTCTAATGCACAAATTTGAAGGAATTCCTGTTGAATGCCAGTAGAGTTTGAGTGGTATGTGCTCAGGTTATACATGCACACCTGCTGTCTTTTAATGCTCTTTATCTTTATCTCTGTTCCAGGTTTCAAAAATAGCGACCCTGATGACTACCAGAGAGTGGTATGTAAATGTAAAAAAAGACAGAAAAATAGATATGGATGCACATCTACTGAGTGTTTCATATTCATTTCATTATGTATGCAGTGTTTTTAAATTCACATCAGTTCCCTTTAATAACTGTCCTGAGAAATTTGTTCACTTCTTTCTCTCTCATTTTCTTGAAAACTAATAATTTTTCGTTATTCCTGATCTCTTAATGGCCTTATTTTTACATAAACTGGGTCTGAGTGACTAGTGGGTACAAAGAGTTGAAAATTGGTTGGATAAATTGCCTGAGGCAGCAGCTAAAAAATAGGCTGTAATGGCCTCAAAGTATTCCCAATTGTAGGGACAGCTAGATCAAAGTGTGTTCACGTCTTATTCCCCCTGACAGACACATTTTTTTAAGGTACACAACAGTTTCCCATAGATAAGACCATATTGTTGATTAAAGATCTTTTTTTTAAATATGAAGCACTAGAATAATACCATATTTTCTCTGTGCTGAAAATACCTGTTTATCACAGCTGTGCAAGGTGAGTTAGTTTTAAGAAATTTTATTCTTGATGTTGTTCAAGAATAAATAGCTTTTCCAGATCAGTGATAACACAATGAACAAAACATTTGTGTGAATCATATTGAGGAAATGTACCTTGCAGCAGAGCAGCTACCTTGGTGTTCTCCATTTTCATGTGTTTTGTCAGTGGAGTGTGGAACATTAAGATGAAAACTTGAAGATAGTCCTGAACATAATCATAATAGAATCATACCAATCACCAGTAAAATAAATTAATAAACCTTCTATTTTGTCTCTACTGCTGGTGTCTTTCTGCCTGAGTGTGTTTTCATGTGACATCTGTCTCCTCTAAGGTCCCTCCCACAGCTCTGTCATATTGGGTAGAAACCACACAGAAGTGAATTAGCTCTGAAGGCTGGGAGCTACTGACATACACACTGACATAAGTGCATGTCAGCTCAAAATAATGGTAGTCATGAAGTACTAAAAATCAATATTGTCAGTCAGCCCTTGACTATAAGTAATGAAACACTGACCTTGCACATAAGCGCTCGAGTAAAAGGAGCAGTTTGCAGGTATTAAAGCCTTTTTTGGGACTCCTGAAGCTGTTCGAAAAGTAAACATCATTAAAGTAATTTTTAGTCCAATCAGAAGAAAGGCTTATGTCTAAAAATACTGGTATAAACCTTCATTAATGAATGTATTTTGTCTAAACTTTCTCTCTTGTGATTAAAAAGTTTCACCTGAATGATAAAGATTGTGTTGTAGTTGTATTGAAGTGACACCCCCCCCCTTCCCTCCTAAACTCCAGCACTTTTAAGTTGACCTACTGTTCATTCATACTGTACTGAACTAAACCATGTCAAGATTTTCCAGTAACTAATTATTCACTGATAGCAAAATGACTCCCAAGATCTGATATTTTTCTCTATCTCTATATCTGCCTCGACAGCTATTTGAAACTGCCAACAAGTACCATTTCTACCACAGCTTGGCCCTGCTGGGTGCTGCCCACTCCAGTAAGCCTGCAGTGGTGAGTATTGAAGCTTAATACCCACACTCAGGGCTGGATGCACTTCAGGTGGCTTTAAAAACAATCCAACTGGAAATGGGCCAGTAAAATGGCTCAACAAATATATTTTTATTTTTGTGTGTGTCCTGATTTGATAAAATTATTGCTTCCAGAATTTCCAACACAGCATGAAGACTTTAGTCCCTTGTAGCTGAAAGGCCCTTTCAAGATTAATCGACCACTACAAATTTGATTTTAAACAAACATGCATTATTAAAAGCATGTCTGATTAGAGTGTAATTACTGTAGGTAAGTGTGATGGATGAGAACGTCCTTTATGCCACATCAAGCAGGAGGATTTCAAAGAGACAAGAGACTAATCAAACTACTTCACCTCTCTCACCACAATCATCTGCAGCTTTTTAACAATGTTATAATAACTGGTGGTGGACAGTGATGAATTCAGATTTTTTTGCTAAGTGTGTTGTCATCTGCATAGTTGGCATGAAAATTGTGTCCAAATACACAAATAGTTGAATTTATCCTCACTAATTATTACATTGAAGTACTTCAATATGAGACAGGTGTTAAAGTCGGGTAAATGACACTAACAGATTTTCTGATTTAAAGTGGAGCCTCATCCTCAGAGACAAAGATAGTGTTAGGTTAACTACAGGCTAAGCGTGTGATAATATTAATGGGTTGGAGATGTTAATGTGGTCTTAATGTGTGTCACATGCTCTTTTATATTTACATGTACAGCGTTTTATAACATAATCTAACGCAAAAGTGAGGTAACATTAAATCTTTTGAATTTAATTCTTTAAGAAGTCGGAAAAAGACGACACTTGAGTATTAAGTGAGGAAAGTAATGAATGAAAATTACTCACAACTTTTTTTTTAAGTCTATAAGGTATTGTGCTGCTCCATCTTTGTCTTGCCATTCCTCTGTTTTCAAGTCTTACATAAATATTGAGATGATATTTTATGGATATGATAATTATAAGGTCAAAATCTGACAGCCTTTTCTTCACCTAGAGGAGAATTAGAACCAGCTGATGCTTCATTATCAAGTCCATGAAGAAGACGTGCATTTTGAAAAGCGTTTTAAAAATATCTTCTTCCAGACTGAACTGGAACTTGAGCTTGTATTTTTCTTTAACTTAAGTTGGTTATAACTAAATCAAAGCAAAGGTGTTTGCTGAAGGTTGATCCTGTAAACCAGACTGTAGCCTGTATCGTCACCCTATTAAAATAATGGCCCAAGTCATTTTTTTAACAAAAGTAAGATTTTGGCCTAAATCATCTTGACATGATTTAGAGGGGATTTAGGCCCAAAACACATGTTCGTCTTATCTCAAAATCAAACTTGACTTTCACATTTCTGTTAATGCTGTAAGCTTGCAAGCTTGGTCATGTTATAATGTAGGCCTACAACCTTAGCTAGCTACATCAAGTACACATGGGATTTTCAGCCTTGTCATAGTGATTGTCACACCCCTTAGTACACCCCTTTCTAATAGAAATGTATCAGAATTTTTTTTTTAAGGTAAACTGAATGCTGATCCAACAAAGTAACATTACCATCCCTGTAGCCTCATGCATTTTAAAGTTTCAAAATAAAACAGAAAGACAAACTAAACCAGCCACACAAGAGCAGGGAACAAAAATAAAACACAGGAAAAACTGAAAAACTGATCTGGCTGCATTCCAGTGGTACTCGGAAGTTGAAATTTCCAAGCTCCGAGTCGGAAATTCATCTGGAATGGTCCCTGAAGTTGGATTTCCAACTCAGGAAGATCCTCACCAACCCCGACTTGACGACAACGTCATAATCCAAGATGGCAGTGCAGTGCATCAACAGTAAAGAGAATCAGTGAAAGCTCTTGTAATGTATTATTTATTAGCACTTCTGTTTTGCTGTTGTGAAATTAAATAAGTGGTATGTGTTGTACTGCCCAACGAACATGGTGAACACTCCATTTTAGAGCTTTACGCCTTTATTTGCATGTATTTAGTCCATATTTCTGCACAGGTCATGCACGCTTGCAGATACGGACCAAAAATTTCAGCGCACAGACGTACTGTAGAGCCAGTTCAAACCGAGGATGCAAAGAAAACACGAGAAACACATTCCTTGGAGACAGTGTTTCAGTGAGCTTTGGGCCTCAGTGTTAGAAAACAGAAACATTAATTACTTTATATATATATATATTTTTTTTCAAACTGTAAGTACAAGGTTGTCCTTGGACCAACAGGAATAAACACAGAAGATCCTGTACTCTGTCAGACACATAAATGTGGTAGATGTAAATTTGGTACAATAAGAAATGTGTCATGTGACTCCTCTTTACAGGCTGGAGCTCTCCTGATAGCAGGCATGGGGATGTTCTGTGGTTCTCTGTACCATCAGGCCCTCACCGGGGACCCTGGTCTACGCAAGGTGGCTCCCATGGGTGGCATGGCTATGATCGCTGGCTGGCTTGCCATTATTCTCTGAACTGTGATAGATCACACTCCTCCACGGCGCCGCAGAGTGACACTGAACTGTCACACTGACGATGGATGAACTTGGGAGCCTGTGAGAGTTGTCTGAGAAGTTAAAAACACTGACTTATGACGCCTATGTAACTGCTCCCTGTCCCGGGTTGTGAGTGTTGGCAGGAGATAAGGTCACATCAGAACTATCACTTTAGTACCACTGCTGTCTGCCTATGACTGGTGCCCCTTTAACCACTTGTGAAAAGTTACATTGGCTGAACAATAAAAACAGTGACTTATGCATGCACAATTTTTAATCTCACATTTTCATGGCCTACCAATTTGGTACAAGGAAGTAAAACAATTCCAGTTAAAAAAAAAAAAAAAAACGAAACAAGAATACAATGTTAAACTTACTGTAAATATTGTTAAATTACATAGATACAACAAAATTATGGCATAGTGAGACAAAAAATGAAATAAATGCTTTTTATTAAATGTCAAGTTATGTTTTATGTCTTTTGAAGTGATTTGCAAAACTAATGTGTTTTAGTAGGAAGTGGGAGAATTTTGACAGGATTTTGAGAAGAAATATAAGGTTTGCACTAATTTTTAATATTAGGATATTTACATTTCTTTAGAAGTGTTGTTGTTCCAACATACAGCTATCACTTTTAACATTATGACAATTTGCCCAATAAAATGAAAGTCTGACAGGGGCCAGTCCAAGCCTACAGTATATATGGCCTGAAGCAGTTTTCAGCTGGGGCCCTCTCTGCCTCAACAACATCAATCAATCAATCACACTCACTGCTGTTAACCAGTTCTTGATCATTCGCACACCTACTGTAAATCTAACACACTCATTAGCACACTCAGTAATGGTTGACAGTGTCAAGTGAATCCCTGTTTATAGTTTAAGAGTGAAACATTATACAAAAATTAAATAGCTGCTCATGGTAAACACTTGTTATGGTAAGAATGACTGGATTTAACTCGTCAGCCCCTAACACTACCAACCAGTCAACAAATTAAGGGGACACTGTCATCAGCAGCCTGATGAAGACAACCACTGACAGCAGCATATTCCCTACGGCTGATCCCAAAGCAGTTTGCATGCACTGTTGTGTACAGCACATGAATGTGATACCTTGAGGGGCTATGGGAGTAGGTTGAACCAGCTCTTTGGGGACCCTTTGCAGCTATGGAGCCCAAAGTAGCTGCTTACTTCACTTCATGCCTCAAGCTGACTCTGCTCTCTCACATCAGGTCAGGGCCAAAACAGTCCTGACCTGATAAGACATAGCAGCGCCAGACTTTTAGAGGTGTGCTGTGGTATCTGACACCAAGATACCAGCCGTGATCCACTAAGTCCTGTAAGTTTTGAGGTGGGGCTGTAATTGATTGGACTTGTTTGTCCAGCACATCACGCAGGTGCCCAATTGGATTGAAATCTGGAGAATTTGGGGACTAAGTCAGGAAAGACATGTCTGCCCTAACCACTTGTCCTGTAGTCTGCTTTTTTTTTTTTTTGCCCATTGCAGCTGCTTTTGGTGGCGTCTAGGGTCACAAGGGGCACCCTGACACCCTTGTTCACGACAAAGTGTAAGGCACTGTGTGTTCAGACACCTGTCCATCAGAGCCGGCATAGACTTTTTCAGCGGTTAGAGATCTGCCATTGGAGAATGGGCCAGCTTTTGCTCCTTAATGGGATATTCCAGCGTAAAATTAAGTTAGGGTCAAACACACTGTAACACTGAGTTAGACACCCTATCGAGAGATGAACGTTGCTGACCGCTTGCTTCTCTAGTTATACCAACTTTGGTAACTATCGCAGATAGAAATACAGAGAGCCACACGCTCAACCAAAAAGCCACTCTATAGCCACAAATAATGCTCAGAACAGCACCTAACTTTAACAACAGTCATAATAGGGTCCCAGCCATAGCACTAGCCACCAAACATCTTTTAAAGCTTGGCCTGATTTCTTTAGCAAAGAGACTAAACACATTTGATCATTTCCTCATGGAAATGCAATCAGACTGAGATGCAAAGGCAGAAGAACTACCACGTTTGAAGTGCAAAATGATTAATATGATGATTATTACCTTAAGGAAATGATAAAGAAAAGATCATAAATGTTCTTTGAGCCGAGTCCCCCGGCTGCCATCAATGGACTCGCCCGAGGTCTCGCTACAAACAAGCGGCTGCTGGAAGAGACAGGGTGAGCTGTGTTTAGTCTCTTTGCTTAAGAAACTAGGCAAAGTTAAAAATATACTATTGATACTAACCACTGGAGACCAGGGACTCTCCATACAATCTGTATTGGAGGTGCTTCCATTCAGTTGTCTAGCCATCACAGTTTGGCCCAAATCCTTTTGTTAGTCAATTTTCTGCTTCCAACACAACAACTCTCTACCTAATGGATTCCACCAATACGTGCCACCTTACAATGGTAATCAATGTTCTACAGCTAACCTATCAGTGGTTATAATGTCATGGCTGATTGGTGTCATACTTTCATACCATTTCATGCAACCCAGCATGCACTTTTACTGCAAACGCAACAACAATCATTTAAGCACAGCAAGATAGGTGACTGCCATTAAACCATGAAGATGCCCTGCAGAAGAGAACGTATAAGCAAAAGGGTTAAATAGCAATATTCAAATAAAGCAGTTTGTCCAAGTTTTATACTCTGTATGGGACATTTGCATTGGTACAGTGTGTACATGAAGTATACACAATTTGGAACAGAAAAATCATACGTCTGACAGCACTATGTGTTACACCCACAATTCAGCATGGAGGTGGTAGTTCCATGGTATGGGGATGTTTTGCAGGTGATGGAGTAGGAGATTTGTTTGAAGTAAAGGGTATCATGAAGAAGGAACAGTACCACTCCATCCTCCAGCACCATGCTGTCCCATCTGGACTCAGACTTGTGGCTCATAAGTTTGTTTTGCATCAAGACAATGACCCTAAGCACTCTGCCAACCTCTGTCAGGGTTACCTAGACAAGTAAGAAGAGGAAGGTGTTCTTCAAAAGATGGTTTTGCCCCCTCAGTCTGCAGACCTTTCTCCAATTGAGCTTGTGTGGGATAATTTGGTTCGATTGGTCAGAAAAACGCATCCTATGAATCAGCAGTCTCTTTTTAACGAACTTAAGAAAGCTTGGAATGCAATCCCTGGAACATACCTTAAAAAACTTGTGGAACGAATGCCTGGTATATGCCAAGCTGTTGTTAAAGCCAGAGGAGGTTACTTTAAAGAATAATAACTCAATAACTCAAATAATAATTATAGTCAAAATGTCTTCTGATAAGTTACTCTTTATACAATAGTCATGTTTATTGTGTTGCAAATTGTATATATGAAACTGTGATCTTTTTTTGTACAAATCTGATCTTGCTTCCAAAATTTTGGCCTGTAGTGTATGTGAATAGAGGAGTGATTTAACTATCAGTTTGTACATATTTGGGTACCAACACCCCATGGTTTGAGATGCAGCTGTTGTAACACCAAAATGCAAATGACTGACACCAGTGTCCATTTGCCTGTGCTCCACAGTGTGTAGTTTTCAGAAAAAGGTGAATAAGCCCATAGGATTCACCACCTTAGCCAGCTGAAGGAAATCGTCTCTCTTGCAGCACTGAATGTCTTCATAGCCTCAAGCATTTGATCTTCTAAGTGGCCGAATACAAAGGAGTTCATTACCCATGGCCTCCCCTTAGCCAAGGCCATGTTCAAACCACTCCGTTTTCAAATTGAAAGTGAAATCCATTGAAACACTAATTCGCCTTCCTGACTGTAGGCCCACGAATGGAGACCTTTAGAAAATAGCGGTATAAATCTCTGGGTCAATTTGCAAGGGTCGGCACATAAGCCGAGGCTCTGCCCAGAAGAGAAGGCTCCATTGACTGAACATGATGCCAATAAGCTCTTGATCACGACTCATAAAACCCTCATTTAAATTTAGCAGCTATTTGGGAGCATTCTGCTGTTTCAGTACCAACCAATCACTCAGCACAGGAAGCCCTGACACCCACAACACCTTCAGAGTTCATGGGAGACACCTGACTAAAAGTTAACAGCAGCTCTGCACAGCCAGATGCATATTTAAAGCAACAACATCAAGTCCTCCTCCATGTGTTAATTACTTTTGTGGGGAAATCATGTGATTCCTTGCATAGAGATTCTCACTAGTTTCACACAGTGGTCTTATTTAGAGTTGCTTATTTCTATTTTAGCTGATATTCAGATGTGAGAATGCAGCTGCTGCCAGCACAACACCTCTGTGTTAAATCCAACCAGATCACAATGTTCTGCTCTGGCAGACCAAGATGAACGTGTCAGCACATTAGAGAGCGAAAATAGAAAGTGAGATTAAGGGAGACACTTGGGTCTGCCTTAGTCTCCTTTATAATAACTGTGCTGATTGTCAAGATAAAGTGTTTATGTTTTTAGAGCTCATCTGTTGTTGTTTTTTTCTCTCTCAATTCTGCACTTGGCCTTGCAAAACCCTAAAATGCAATCATGTTTATATTGTGTGCACATGGAAATGACTTGTGTGTAGGATATATTCGTTAAGTGCCCAAATTATCATCTTGGGTGCACACAAGTTGGTACCTTGTATCCTCAGGATAACTATCCCCTTGCACAATAAGCAGAATATAAGATTTTTTTCTTCCTCAAAATACATCCATAAAAAGTGGCAATGTTTTGTGTTTGGGGTTTTGTCTAAGGCTGAGATTGTTGTTTATGAAATAATATTGCTGTGTTTGTCGTATTAGCTCAATTATCAAATGGTATGGAACAGCAACTTACAGTAACATCCGATCGGTTATTTAGACCAGTAGCCTCTAAGGAGACGATCTGTGTGTTTCCCAGACATCCAGGGGCTTTTCTATCCCACAGAGAAGATAAGTGCATTTGAGAGATTGTTTAGATCCTGCCCCTTGATCAGTAAGTAACCAGTGATGATTTATGTGTAAATTATAGTGGCTCCGCTGACTATGCTAGACAGAGGCTACCATCTTTGTTTTGGTCTCTTGACCTGATAGTGGCTGTATCTATGATTAGCTGACCTGTAAAGGACCAGTTAGAAAATATGGTGGTCTGAAACAGAAGTCAAAGTTACAGGTAGACTATTGTGAATAAATGTATCTCATTCAGTGTATGAATGCAGCATAAAGGCACAGTATACTGGAAAACAGAAAAAACAAACAAACAAACAAACAAAAAAACAATCTAAATACAATGTACAGCAACTATTTTTTTGTTTATTTTCATTTTATTAAATGGTCTCCATATTTAAATGCATGTGTTCAATGGTTCTGTAACAAAGCCCACATTTCAGCAAGAATTATCTCCACAAAAGCTGAGAACATTTTGTCTGTCACATCGTGGCTAAGATATTTTTGTTATGATGATTCAATTTGACTGTTTAAAAGCTCAATGTTTGTCCCCTTTCATGTCTAAGGGTTCCAACATCTGACTTTGAAAACTTCCACTGGCAGACAGTAGCCCAGATGTCAATTGCGCCTTTCCTTGCACATTTTTTTTTTTGGGTCAGAAGGACACCCACAGTCTTTTTGGCCATGAGTTTGATATTAAGAAAAGATGGTGGGAGAAGAGACAATGAGAGCCCAGTTTACTTTGCCTAGCATAAAGATGAGAATGAGATTCTACTTGAAATAGTCAGGCATCAAGAGCATGGACGGCTCACTGGGCCTAGTTCACTCTTTTTTTTTAAGACAAAGTTTGTTGATGACTGACATTCACAAAAGTCGTATTATTGACTAACACTCAGGAGCACACTTCTGCATGTTTGAGTGCCTTCATTCAGCATCTTTAAACTGTTTAAAAACTTTAAGTGTATTAACTTGGACTTGAGTGTCCCAGTTAGGAGCCTTTTATCTTAACGTATTCATGGGCACAGAGTAACCTAGTTGCTGTGGGGAGGTTTCTAAAATTGAGATTTAGTATTTACATGTAAAAAATCTGATCATGACTCAGACACTTAAGGTTATGCAATTGACCCACTGATGAATTTACGATTTGTATGTTGTCAACTTTTATTTCAAACATACAGTGTTTGATAGACACACCAAAATATTACACTTTTAAACAAAACTTTAGCGCAAGGAGATTTTTTTTTAAATATCAGATCAGAATCCGTTTCATTAGCCATGTGTTTTAGCCCATAGGCATGTGACATTAAATTTCAAACATTTATGGAAAACCTAACAACAGAGGACATTACAAGCCACAGTTTAACAATAGTATGTTAAAAAGAAAACACCTATTTACAGCTATGATAACTTTCTTTACACATAGGTATTTGATGACTCGTCTGTCACATACTCACTCCTTTTACAACACAATCTGTAGAACAATTAAACTATCTAATGGTTTTGTTAGAATTAAGAACAGAAGTTGAGATATCTCCAGCATCTCTCTTCTGTATCACATAATTCCTTCCCTTAGATTTTGAATCAAACTAATAATAATAATAATAATAATAATAATAATAATAATAATAATGCATCAGATTTTATAGCGCATTATCAGAGACCCTCAAAGCGCTTTACATTGGATACATCGTTCATTCTCACACAGTCACACCTTGATGGTGGTGGTTATTTCACTTTATCTTGTGTGTGCCTTTTCTGATTACATTGTTACGTTTCTGATGACTTTGAATTATATCATCAGTGTCATATTTGTGAGAAATGAAATTATTTTTCTTTAACTTGAAATCTAGTGCACATTTGGTTTATACTTTAATTTATACATTTCCAACATCCCTCTTCTGCTCTTTTCTTCGGTCCTGAGTAAGTTTTGTTTGTGCATCGCACTGCAGTCTAATGCCCATTTTAAAAGTTTTTTTTTTTTTTTTTTTTTTTTGCTAATATGGAAAAATGTCAAGATGTCAGTAAGTGAAGCCAGCTGATTTTTACATACGAAATACTGCATAGTCAATGGCTGGGTATGCATGTTAGAATCCTAACAGGGTGAGCAGGACTGAAACAAAGCTTGAGACAGAATGCCACAGTGTTGACAGGCAGAGGTGAAATTGCCCATTATGATGACTGATTTGGTATGATGTATTAGAGCAGTTTGTCCCTAATGATACTTTGCTGTAGAATTAGTTAGTGCTGTTAAGTAAGGTAACCATACTTTCTCTTTTACCTGGACATGTCCTCTTTTTCGCGGGACTGCCTATAAAATCCTTCAAATGTCCGTGTTTTTGTATGGGAATTTAGAGCTTGTGTAGCATGGAGTAACTGAGTTAGAAGAGCGTAAAAAAAAAAAATAACACTCGTCCTGACTCGAAAAACCCCTCAAAATTTTGCATGCAACTCCGCCCAACTTAGTAGTACCCCCTTTTTGGGGATCCAGAATATGGTCATCCTATGTTAAGGGATTTTAACAAATCAGAATCCAGTTTAAGACAGAAGAGTAATGAATATTATTTGTTCCATTGTTGCAAGAAGCAAATTATAAGAACAAATAACTTGATAAAGCTTACAGTCAGGGCTGGTTCAGGCCTGGGCCATGCAGGTCTCAGCAGATGACTTTCTAACATCAGTCCGGTTCTCCTCAGGGTTTCTGCCTATTAACAGAAGTTTTTCCTCTCCACTGTAGCTTGCTTCATGGTGCACAGTAACACTCACGGTATAAGATTGGATGGGAGTGGGTCTGATCTTACAAGATGGGGCTCAATCTAATTCAATCTTTACGCTGAGTCTTTTTAAATAGAGTCTGGTCTAGACCAGCTTTATTGTGAGGTGTCTAGATCAAATGTATATTTCATTAACTAAGCTGAATTGTATTTATTATTGTACACTGATCAGTGTGTAATATTGTTCTGCTTTAGCAATATTATTCTGACTTTTAATGCGAATAAAACTAATTTGAATGGAATTGAATTGAAGTATAAATATAACCAAGATTTGGATTCAATGAGTACAGAGGTTTATTGTCATTACAGGGTTTTATTTCAACTTACATTTCCTTATATCTGCTCAGAGGTGTAACATGGTGGACAAAGTTACACTCCATTAAAACAATTGTGACTTCTCAAACCCACTGCCCTTTTCCCATGCAGACATTTTGACTTGATACAGTGGAAAAAATGTTACTGAGATGAACATCTCATCTTATGTATCTGTGTAACCTGAAGGCCCCTAAAAATGGCATTGAAAAGGCTTTTGACTGCATCCATGATGATCCAGACATCCAGTTTATGGGGCCAGTGAACTGTGAATCGAATCCTTTTTGATTCAAGGCAGTAAAACCATCAAAAATGAAATTTCACAAGTAAGGTGAATACTTTTAATAGACACGCTATATTTCTTGATCAAACCACAGAACTCAAATGAGGAAGGCCTGCAGAAGCACACCCTCTGGCAGTGAGTCTCCCTGCACAGCACTGAAGCCTGCTGTTGTGAGTATCAGAGAAAGAAGAAGCTTGGCACTAACGGTAGATATTGTTAATTATACCTTCAGGGACTACCCCTACACTTCATAAGCTTCCCTCTTTTTTCTTTCTCTTGCCCTGCAGACAGACTTAATTACATCAGCTTCTTCTGTATAAGGGAGCGGCTCCTTGTTCCATTGATTTCTTGGTCTGGGTCTGCTTTGGTCAGAGATGAAGAGTGTGGTTGTGTGAGAGTCATTGGTGAGGTGATAGAGAGCTTACAGAGGCTGAATGTGGAAAGATACAGGAATTAAACTCTCCATCTTCAATGATTATCCACAGCTTCCTCCCTCTCATCCACATAGACCAGGGGACTCACAAATGTCCACGCAACAACACACACAGGCAATATATTAAAGTGCATGCTGTATAATACACACCAGAGAAGCACCAAATCCTCTTTCAGGCATCAATCAGGCGACTGCTGCCCCGAACAGTGGAGCGGAATGACTGTAATGGCCAACCCAAGCGCTTCCATATCCTGGTCCCTTCACTGACCTTTCAGAGCCACTTAAATGATGGTCAACACTATCACACCCTCAGACAGATGACTCCTTTACTTCAGTGGACACTAAGGTCCCATCACTATAGTCTCCTTTTTCACAGCTTTAAACCCAATCATTTCACTTCAATTGCAACAGAGCCATGATGGCAATGCATCATGGGAGCTTAGGGGGTGAAACCAGAGGGAAGCTGCTATCATTACCAAATCACCATAATCACTGTAAGAAATAGTTTCCCATGGGGAGATGTGTGGGGACTGTTATCAGCCAGCTTGGAGATGTTAGTGACACTAGGTGGGATAATGGTGCATAAATGCTGATTACTAAGACGATGGTGAATGTAAAAAAAGACTCTTTTATTAATGTGATAGTCATTTACTCAGCTGTGAAAAGACAAGTACAGTCAGGATTCAATAAGTTACCAGTTTTGAATAGTGGTGGTAGTTTGTGGTAATTTGGGTAATGTATTCTGTTTGCTACCCTACCCTGGCCACCACTGCTGTATAAGTGTCCTTGAAAAAAAAAGGACTTGATAGATAAACATAATTCTGGACACGCCCCCGGTACCATGCTGTGAACATGTTTTATTCTGCTGTGCAAGTGATCTTTTTTAACATTGGCTTTGATGGAGTGGACTTGAATTTTGAAGCCAAATTCTCAGGGACACTCTTTAGAGTTGCAGTTTTTCTCACCATTGCAATAATATTAATCAAAAAATGTCAGGAACTTGCTGGGGGAATTTTTTTAAACAATAGAAAACTATTAAAATGTTTTACTATTTCAAAATATTTAAAATATCAAAATATTTCAAGCTATTGGGCTTTTGAAGTGTGATATTTCCTGTGACTGCTCTTAACATAGGGCAACATCTATTTTTACATCCTCAAATTCGTCACTCTGCTCCTATATCTTCTTCTTATTTTCATTTTACAGGGATACGGATTCCCCCTGTCTTCCATGTGAATTATTTTATCATCGTTTTGCAAAACAAGCACTGGTTTGGGTGTTAGGCATTGAATCTCACTTGACCTGAAACACTTCCAGCAGCCTGATCTGACTTGCAAATAGGCAGGTTTTGTTCCACAGAGGGGATATATGGAGGGATGAAAAGACCGCTAGTGATTTTTTTTGTCTGTCTGGGTAAAATGAGGGCAAATACTGACAGAAATGGTGTCAAGCAGTGAGTTTGATATTGCACTTTGAAGTGTATTACTGTGTCTGTTGAAGGCTGGGTTTGTCTCCTGTCTCTCATTTGGCAGACCAGCAGTGTCACTCCCTCTACTTGCTCATTAAGTGCTGTTTGGTGCAGCATTATCTTGATAAATGTTCCACTTACACCACAGAATAGACTGATGAATCAAACACTGTACCGCACTCCTCAGACAGTTCTTCTTGTAGCCGGCAATGCTGCAGTGTATGAGCTTGTAATGATCCATCGACAGACTAAGAGAGAGGTCTGACAGGTTATTCCAGACACTATAAATCCAAAGAGGTTTAGCACTGATGCAGGAAATGAATAACTTGCAGTATAATCAGGGACATTTATGCACACACTGTATATTAAAGAGGAAGTGGTCCCCATATTCTGCCAGAGATGGAGCCCCAGCAGACCTACTTAAAGTTTCACATAAAAGAAGAAATTTAAACTTTTATCATTTTTACCAAAAATTAATCCAACCAACTCTATCAATTAATTTCAATGGAAATTTATGGCTATTAAAGGGGAGGATTTAGTGCCAAAAAGCTGCCTCAGTAGATTTACAGTAGAACATTAGATAGAACACTAAACTCATCCCATCTTCTGTGATGTCTTTTGAGGCATCTCTTCCAATGCATCTCCACAACAAAAGACATACTGTAATTTCAAAATCTGCCTGAATCAGTTTGAGATGTGCTGCACATACGAGTCAAGAAAGACCATGGTTCTTGTTCGTTATCCCTCAATAAGAATCAGTGTCTTCTGATGGTTGCTTGTTTTTAAAGCTACAAAAAGTTAATTTATTGTCCTTTGAATCAAAGGAGAAAAGATGAGAAATCACAACAAGAATACTCATGGAAATACATGAGTCAAAATCATGTTTTTTTCATGCAGAAGAATGAACTTCAAATATCATATTCAAGTGAGGTTGTAAGACTCAAAAAAAGCAACAACTTATGTACAGTATGAAGCAAATTTGGTTTGCTATTTTCCACCACAGTGCTCTTGCACTTCATCTCAGGATTTAACAGCCTCTACTGCAGACACTGAGTATTGGCTTGGCTTGTAATTAACCTTTTAATTTAATGAAATCTTCTCTAATGAAATATAAAATCACCGTTTTATAGAAACTTAGCTAGTGCATTCTAGATTAGCTCCTTTTGCTAAATAGCTTCTTTTTGCTTTATTTCAGACCACTGGAATTACATTACAATGGCTTTTAATAGGTATGAGGTCAGTTACCATTTACTTACCAGACCACTTACATTTAGCCATACAGTGTTAATAAATTGAGGTTGAAAAACTATTAAGTATGCATTTTCATGCTGAAAAGTAATTAAAATAAAGCTGAAGATAAATGTTAACTGTGGCCACAGCAGGAATGGTCATTAATTACCTTTAACCTCAAGTTTTTGCTATAAATCCTCACCACATTATACAAACTGTGCAGTGTTATATCATGCAACCACCACCAGCCGCCTGTTCCCAGATAGCTAAAAATGATTCTCAAACATTATAAAGAAACTCCATGTCATAGCTATTTATAGTTAATATTATATGACCTGTATGGACTGACATTAATTTGCACTTCCTTTGTATGCATAGTGCCTGTAAATGTTAACCGAGCACATTTAACTGCACAGCTATTTAACATAATTACTAATTAAAATTAAAACAATCTGAAGATTGAAAAGGAAAGTAAAGCAGGCCACTGTAAACCTATAACCACAGGCATTGTTTACAGACAAGGGGGAGGGCACTGAATTAGCAGCCGCATCCACATGCAGCACCCTCCACCTCAGCTGCAGGGAAGCTGCATGTGTTGGACGTAAAAGGATCTGCTCCCATGCTCATGCCTGAAAACACCGGCTGTGCGGTCCTGAATCCGCCCTACTCTGCTCCCTACAACTAAACTGCAGCTCTGTGTTGTCTCGGCGAGGCACAAATTTAATCATAAACCTGACCTCACAAATCCGTTTGTAGTTTTGTAATGTGGGGCGTGCGTGCTTCACATACTACTAATCCCTGGATCCTCAGAGAAGGACCATGATTTCTGGGACGGTGTTGCCAGGGGGAAGGTGGCGCCTGGGACCTGTTGGAAATGACAGCTAAGGAAGGAGGATTGAAGCCTGGGGATCACAATAACAGTAAACGTAGAAGATAGCGAAGAAACTCCCTCGCATCGCTGTGTAAAGGGTGTAAGTCTGTTTGCAGTATTTGACAGCTTTAGCTTCAGAGCTAATGATACCAGTGATCCGTGGCTAACGGAACTGGAGCTGGGAGTACATGTGGATGCATGCGTGTGTGTTTGTGTGTGTTTTTGTGGGTTTGTAGTGTGAATTTGTGTTTGTGCCTGTGCGTTTGTATGTCGGAATGTGTATCGCTGCATAAGCCTTTACTTTCCCTTGCTGTCACGTTAGCTAGCATGCTAATTTGTTAAAGCTAGTTGGCTAATACTGGCTAATAAAAAGAAATTAGCTCACTGTGGGCGTCGTGCCAGGCTGACCTTACCACTGCGAGTCAAACGCCCTGGTATTATAGTGATAGAGCTGTTACACGAATATAAGAAGTAATAGCTGCCCGAGGTAATTAGTTCTCTATTAGGAATAATCTAATTAGCTCGTGTTGACTGTCAGACGGCAGGCAGGCTAGTTTGCTTGGCTGTTAGCTAAGCAGCTACGCAGAAGTGAGGAAGCTTTATCGCTAATTGACCCAGTTTGGAGGAGTAGAGGCCATGCTGTCACTGCACTTGGCTGAACTTTGTTTACAAGTTGTGGACTTATTTGTGAGGAATAAAATCCCCCTGTGTAGATAACTATCTACAAGTGCAATATGGAAAGGAGTTACCTAGCCATAACTTAAGAATGTTTTACTGTTTTAACCCATAGAGTAATGCAGTCAACCCCCCCCCCCCCCCCCCCAAAGGAAGTAACAGGAAATACAAAGAAATTTCAACTTGTTATGAATGACATTACCTTACTGTTTCAACTCTCTTGCTATATGTGTAGATACAAGGTAGTAAAGAGATACTGGCAGACAGAAATAATCTGATTTTGTGATCAACAGCATGCAGTGTTTGTTTACAGGCAAATCATTAGTAAGTACTTTAAAAGGTTTAATTCAAACACTGAAGAAAAGCATGCATCCATGCATTTTCATAACTCATTTACTCCAGAGAGGCATTACTTATTTCATTCAGATAGTGGTGGTTGATATGAAGAAAATATATAATGATTATTGTTAATTTTGCAGAAATACAATCATAATTTTGTCACTTTAAAAAAAAAAGTGATTTTCATGACTACTTTGCACGTAACTTATAAAATTAGTGTGGCTGCCAGCAAATAAATAAATAAATCAGTATCTTTGGTTTAACACCATCACCCGTTTTAAAATTTTTTAAAGAGTTGAATTGCTTAGGCATGAAGCATCCTCCATCCTTACCCTCTATATTGGGGAAGGCACATGTGACAGTGACAGGGAAGCAACAGGTAAAAAAAAGATGGCAAACTATTTATTCATTTGGAGTGAGACATCCTGCATTCTTGCTATCTTTGCTGAGTGTTGCATACGCAAGACAGCAGCTGTTAAATGACTGGCCACTAAAACAGAGCAACATAGCGGCAACTGATGAACACTGTCAGGTTGTAAAATGTCTAAGTCTGGGAGCATGTGACCTGATTTTGTACTCCACACTAGCTTTGTATGGGGCACGGAAGTACTATTTGAGAGTAATAAGAGGCGTCATGGTGACATTTAACTCAACAGTCTAAAGTCAGGGCCAAGTGATTTTTACATTTTCAGTCCCTCACCTTAAAATCTTAACCTTATAACACCTGATCGTTTTCTTTCATCTCCTCTTCTTTTCTCCTTCCATAAACCAGTGGAGCCTACTTGTACCACACCCCACATTAAGACTAAATCATTTTTCTTGCATGAATTTAAATTTTAGTTGCATGTTAATATTCAAATTAATAAATTAATAATAAAATTTTAAATCCTACATAGTAACCACTGACTGAATAAGTTAATAATGACAAATGATTGTTTTGATAACTAATGACAGGTTGACTATCAAAGCAATGGTTAGCTGCAGCCCCTCTGTACGACTACCACAAAACCATTGCCCTCAAAGGAAAGGAATCATAGGCCATGTAATCTAAAGTACTTAAGTAAACAGATTTAATCTGTACCTGCAATTTTGCCAACTTGACCCAAAAAAAAAAGGACATGATAGAAGGGTAATAATGCGGATAAGCCTTCAAGTACACTCAGTTTTAGACTGTCGCTTTTTTAAAACATTGAGTTGTTTGATAAGATAACTCTCAAATGTGGTCCTACTAAATTAGCATATCAGCCTGTAGTTACTGTAGTTCTGAAGCAACTCATATGATACTATCCATTAAGAAGTAAAAAAAAATTTCACATAACTCCAGCATAAATGTGACTCTCTGCGAAGAGTTAAAGCAACAGTATTCACTGGGTAAGCTAATGATACTCTAAAAGAAGACTGAAGTAATGAGGATGCACAACATAATAATGCAGTGGAATGACTTGATGTGGTGTTTGTTTGCCCATGGTTTGTATCAAGATTTCTCAGTCGATGCGTTTAAATAATCAACATGCTCACATGGACTGTAAGCATGCAACTGCAATGTTTTTTTTTAAGTTGTGTTAATACTACAAACTCTATCATAGACAGTCTAGTGCTTCCTAATCTAATATCCTATTTTGCACACTGAAGTGTGTTTGCATGGCATGTCATGGTCTGCCTTCTTATTAGTTTTCGGGATCAACAGAAAATCATCCTGTTATTTCAAAATACAGAGACAAATATAGACCAGTTAAATGTGAAAGCCAGTGTTTTTTGTCCTGGCAAAACAAGAAGACATGTCATGGACATGGGCAAAGTAAAATGAACTCCGTGCTACAGGATAATAATTGTCTTTGTCTCAACATAACAAGTCCAAACCTGAAATCACTGAAGCCATGGGGCAACAGTGTGAATTAAATATATGGATGTATGTCTGCCTTGGGCCTCTGTAAAATGTTATCAATTTTAAGTGGTAAAACTGACTATATTAGAGGCACAAACTGCCATCCTGGAGCGATCAAAATGATCATATTTGTGTCTCAATTAGTAGTCCTGCTGGTTTCTTGCCGTATAAAGGTTTTTGTCTTGTTCCCACTGGTGTTTGTTTTTAATCACACTTATGTCCAATCAGACAACAGGGGCAGAACAATCATAGCAAACCATAGCAAACCATAGCAAACCACAACTATCAGTGCATTCCTGGGTCAGCCGCAGTCCAACCTACAGCACTTATAACCAGGTTGAATGATAAAAAAAAGGTAGTATCATTAATACTACGCCGTTTTAATTACTGGAAGGTAATCAAGGCTCCAAGTACTCCTGGGTCAGCATTTCTGTGAAATGATGTAATGTGTTCCCTCAGGATTGCCCTACAAAGTCTCATGATTCACGCAAGGCTGCTGAAAACAAGGCAAGCATTATACTGCTGTGACGTCATGGTAGGCTCAATAGCCCTAAATCAGTCTAAAAATACATTTAGCTGTGAGACATCTTGATTCAGCCATGTGGTTTGTTATATGAAGCTATACTGGAGCTCTAAAAGTTAACTTAGGCAGCATAAATCATCCCTCAGGGTACCCAGACTGCCCGTGTTACCAGTGAAAACGGGGCTGTTGTGACTAATAAAAATCCCTGAGGATATATGGGACTATATCTAAAACACTTTCTCCTCCTGTGTCCTCACCCTGCAGGGTTTGTAGAGATGGAGTCCCTGATGAGTGCGGTAGCCCCACGCTCCCCAGCCCCCGTCAAGAAGTTATCAGAGGTGGATTTCCGGTCAGGGGCCACCCTGGATCAGCTGTCATCGCAGGTGTCTGAGCTGGTGATACTGGAGCAAGGAGAGTTTGGAGACCAGACCGCCTTAGAGGTCCACACTGCCAAGGATTTTATCTTTAACATGCTAGGTAAGCTTGCAAGCTAATCAGAGTTGAACATGCATTGGGTTACAAGTTCACATTTTCACATTTTTATCCCTCTGACTTGCCATACTCCAAGTCTGCTGACATTTCGAGCCTTTATTTAGCTTGAGGTGATGTGATCATGATGCTAAAGGTAGTGTGCTATGAGCAGCACACCACTAAGTAATAGAGATGCCTGAATTCTATTTTGGCTTTGGATGTTGCAGTTTAAATTGCTGCCATTAATAACTGAGGTAGATGAAAAAGTCAGGTTGTGAGTTTGATTTTCAGTGCTATCAGTATGTAATGGCTCGAGTATTTCCGATCATCACTTTAATATAATCTGATTTTAACAGACCAAAAGTCTCAGGGAAAGTAATAATTTATTGCCTGGAGTGTTATTAACTATTAATAAATAGTACTTAAGTATTTTGTGTCAGTTATGAGGATATTAAACAGCACGCACAGGGGTCCCTGTGTCTCCATGTGTATATTTTTAGACTGTTTGAAAGTGCTGATCTGTCTTAAAAGGGCTGTGGAATGGCTGTGTCTTTCCTCCTTTTTTTTTTTTTTTTTGATGTCTGTGCCGTTGTTCAAACCTTTTTCATTGCAAGGTCTTGCTTTTACCTCTGTATATTTTCCAAGCTTTGTGCGCTGAAGTCTGTGATTTTCGATGTATGAGAGAGAATGAGTGTAGCTGCTATTTTACCTATTATTTACCCAGAATATATTACTGTAAACAATGAGCTATGTTGTCCCTGAAAAGCTCCATACTCAATCCTTGTTTGACATTCTCACTTAAAGCAAAGTTTTGCACAACCTTCTGCACGACTCAAGTCACTAAACCGAGAACACGTGTCAAGCTTAGTCTCAAGTCCTCTTTATAAACATTTCCGGTACACGGAAACCCCCTGTTTTTTAAAATTCAGTTGTGGGCAATTTTAACTTAACTAAGAGCGTAAAACAGGGATAGAGTAGAAAACAGGGAGGTGGACTGGGAATGATGTGGTAAAAACCCTAGCATCTGGCTCTAAGGACCGAAGCCTCTGGAGTGTATGAGTTAACAACTAGTCCAAACCCTGCCCTGCTTTTCATTCCAAACAATTCACCTTACAAACCTCATCTGACCTTGTGGGAGCTTTTGATGCTTATTAAACAGATGACTTTGATTAACATTAGATTCTGACTCGGGGATGTCCTGTCCTCTTTCCCAATTATCAGATAGTAGAAGATCTTGGAACTTTTCTAAATAAACAGGGATCAGTAATTTGAGCCGATCATCTCATTCAGATCATTTCGTCAGCTGTCACTGGGAACAATTTGGGTCAGAATGCAGATGTGCAACTAAATTTGTGTAACCAACTGTTCTGGGTTCCCCTCTTTGCAAACCTAAGATAAAAATAATAAATGTGACATGATTTCAAACTCCAGCCACGGCTTAAACTTGATCCAACCTGGACATGCACAGCTGGTCAGATTATAGCCGCAGCAGCAGCAGCAGTGTACAGTAACTCTCCAAGGACACATGATTCAGAAAGTAAAAACATTTACCACACATAAGACAGTCTTAAGCATTAGCAACCCTGTGGTAAAAATGTCAGCAGTGTTGAAGTGTTTTAAATAAAAAGTAAAAACCCTCCAACAGCTGCTTGAAACCTATGCAGTATTGCTTTACAGGGCAGTCATAGAAGAGCTGTACTGAATTTTGACACATGTAAACATGTAAAGGAATGTCACAAAATAACTAACACAACAGAGGACAAGCTTGCTACATCAGCAAACTCTGGGCTTTAGAAAGGTGGATAAATATCCTCCAGAGAGAGAAAAAGGCAAAATGACAGAAAAGATGATTGAATCCATAGAAGATCTGTTGAGAAGCTGCATCAATGTGAGATCGATCAGTCTTGCAGATGAAAAATGAGTATCAAGCACCAAAAGATGGTGGTTTGATTTGGTTAAAGTCATGTACTTGGCATCTTGCAATGGGGTTTTTGCACAGGCACAATAACAATTGCAGTTATGAAACAAGATACTGAGTGGCTGAGCTCTTCAACAAAATAGAACAGTGCAGGTTAGAGAATATCAGTAAAACAGATGCAGATAATGAATTAGCATAATAAATGCATTGAGTCAGTAATGGTTTGTGTTCTGTCAAGCTGTTCACTCTTTATAAACACATTTCAGAATCTTCTTTATGTAGATCTGCTTTTTTTATAATAGGTAACAGGGAACAGAAAACACTGCTACTATGAAAACTGGTATTTGTTAGTTCAGTCCACTAACTGCTATTTAAAGGTGTGGTGAGCTGCTGCTTGTCATTAGAGAGAGATATCACTTAGTAGTTGTGGGAGGAAAAAATCAATACAGCCTAGAGTCGCAATATTTTGTCTGGTGATGTATTGTATTGTATTGTATCGTTTCATCCACCAAACATTGATTTTTTTTTAAATTAATTGCTAATATGAACTCAAGTCTATGGTAATGGAAAAATAAAATCAGTTGTTTTTTCAGTGAGGTTGGCAGAGGCGACATCATCGTGCTAGAGAAAGTAAACATAGCACCTGGGGAAGGACAATTAAGAATGCAAGCAGGGCACAAATGAGATCAACATGTCATTTAAGGTTTGCAAGAAGTGCTACATAGAAATACAATACTGTGTAAATAAGACAAAATTAGGGAAAGACAAATACCAAGTCAGCTAAACAGTTGGAAAAAATTGCATAAATCGCAATATATGGTATCGCAGTTCTCACTGTATTGCAAAGTAGTAGTAGTAATATCTAATCATGGCCTGACTTTCATGGTAATATCGTATTGCAAGGCCACTAGTGATTCCCACCCATATCACTTACTATGATACTTTAAACTAAAAGACCTCTTGTTCATATTTCATGGTGTCTTTTTTCCCCCCTTTTTTTCATATGTACTCACATACAAGTGAGCAAAACATGGATGCAATTCAAAGAGTCTAGGAATGTCTTCCCATTCTACCTTCTCATTTAGGCGTGCTATTGTGTAATTATGATTACTCACACTTAAGTCTCCAAAATTTTGACACCAAATTAAATTACAACAATAAGCAGAAATCTGCATCTCTCTTTTGAAAGAAATGGGACATGGCTCTCCCTTTCAGGCTCATTTTATGACTCAGGATTTTGATACAGGCTGTGTGACAAACTGGATCAAAGCTGCATAGAAATCAAGCAACAGGTATAATATCTCCCTTTGTGTCCCTTGACAGACACATTATCACATTGTTCCAAGCTGAATCTACAAAATTAGTGGCGCTGCCAGTTTGTGGCAGTGGGGGATATAATGATTTAAAACTTGCAAATTTGATATTTTCCAAATGCAAATTAGATTCAAATGAGATGTTTGTATTGAGGCACATCTGATTCATGAAATCATCCTGTGGTGCTCTGCTCCCCCTGACTTCTCTGGCTGTCTCTCATAACCTGAATTTCTGATCAAGGGGTCTGCCTGGCGAGACCTGGAAACAGTCTTGTATTGTTTTAACTTGTCAGCTGTGAATTTAAAGTGAAGTGTGTTTGTTTGTCCAATAGGTGGCACTCTCCCCCCTCCCTGCTGTCCCCTGTCCTCCTTGTTTCCTTATACAACTAACACTCTGTTTATGTGTATTTTAACGAGCATCGTTGGCCTTTACCCTGATAGTTCAGTCTATTTCTTGTGAAGTTTCTGTTTGTATATGCGCTTCTTTTACTCTCACAAGCACACTGCTTCCCCATTACTGTGTCCTAGAATAACATAACAGCCTTTTCCAACCACTTTGAGGTTAGTGTTATAACATTATTTGACAGATGGCTCCTTTAGAATTTGAAATAGCTTCATCAAACAGTCCGATCTACCCAGGGTAAAACCTCACAAATCAGAGTGGCAGCAAGACCTCTTTTTAAAAACGGTGTTTGCATCACCTTTAGATGAAATTAGCACCCGCCACCTGCCAAGTGTAGAGTGAAAGTTGGCTGAGGCAGAGAAATCTTTAGGTGATCAAACACCTTTAGGTCGACACATGCTCATCCTCTCCTATGTGGTACTGTGATCAAAATGCTGTCTCCAGATATCAATATTTCAATTGGAAAAATCTGAATAATCCCAGCGAAGTTTTTTGAATGTTGCTGTCCTATTTTACCTTTTTTGTGTGAGAAAGAAGTGACTCCAAACAAGATTATAGCCCTAAATAAACAGTTAGCTCACCTTTGTGGCTGATGTAGAAGTGAGCTGTTTAGAGGGAGATCATTGCACTTTCAAACTCATGTAAAATGCAGGACTGCATGGTTGAACTGGACCATATGCCTGTGATGGACTAAAGTAACATTCCTATCTTTTCACACCAACAGTTATAAAGGAAAGGCAGAGCAACTTAAGCTAATGACTTGAAGCTGGGTGGCACGTCTAGGAGTTGACAGTCTAAGCATATGGATAAATCCCGGCTTTCCACAATATTTATGGACGCCATATGGTAACCGTAATTGCTACAATAGAGCACATTTTGGGTTATTTTTATTGCTCGAATTTATGTTGCTTATGAAGATTTACTGTACACTTTGTTAGATTGGGTATATTTCAGCAGGAGTAAATCCTCGGAATTAAGCGTCATCTGCAATCATTTTACTTGTATTCACTGCAGCCCTTTAATTATTACTTAGGTTTGTTTATGTAAAATAAAAGTGGCTATTGTATTTTCACTAGTTTTGTTGTGAACATTAGTTCCCCTGTAACTGTTCCAGGAGGTGCTGATGTGGATGTGGATGTGTCCCTCATCAGAAGAAGTGGAGAGGGTTTTTGATCCAGAGTAAAAAAGGTCAAGTATTTAATTAGCAATATGTAGCGTGACTGCTTCAGTAATATCTTTCCATACTGTCCCTTTTTTGTCACGTGTAACACAGTAGGAAAATGATTTCACCAATTTAATCTGCTTTAAAACAGGTTTCTCTGGCTGTTGCAGTCTTTTGCATAACAGTGGGACGTGTTTAAGATGTTAAAATGTGAAGCTGCGTTTTGGCGGCAACAACCTTTCAATAAACTTTGCAGCAGGCTGCGGTTTGCTCAGGGCCATGTTGGTTTGGTTGTGTGTGTCTCTGCACTCTGGATTTCCATTTTTAAAACTCCTCCTCAACTACAAATACAAATTAGGCGATCAAATTGATTTAACATCCCACCCTACGCTCATGTTACTTTGCATAGTCAATATCGGAGAGTAGATAGGTGCACCTTCCAGGTAGAAAGAGTGTCTTTGTATTTCAACATAAAGTCAGTCTGTCTTTCCCCTCCAAAAACAAGATCACTAGCACTGTCATGTTTTTCAAATTTTAACATTCCTCCTCTCTTTTTTTTTTTTTTTTGGATGATTCTAGTGCAAAGCTTTTAGCTCCCCCCTTTGCCTGTTTCCTCTCTCTTGGTTGAGGAAGTCTAGATTTTCTTTAGAGGTTGCTTTCTCAGCCATAATAGTTGCTGGTATTTTCACACCTCATGCCTCCTCGCCTGCAGTGGCAGCTCTGACAGAGGCAAAAAAAAGTTTGGCACTTTCAACATGGAGAGAGGTTTTGTGTTGGATTCTAGGAATATAAAGTAAAGTACCCAGTGGTAGCTGCATAAGGAGCTCTATGCCTCTCAGACCCTGTGGAGGATGAAAGGCTGCACCGAAAAGCAAATATCATCCTCTTTATGGAGGGGCCTTGGTACAGCATGCAGTCTTTCTGAATTCAAGGCTTGTCACAGCTGTATAGGTATGAGTTCAGGCATGTGTGCCAAGATGCCGAACACGAGTAGCTGGGGCTGTCTCTGCCTGGTTTTCATAAAGTTTGAGCTGTAGAGGGATCCCCACTGGGCTTTGCACACTGTCAGGGGATAGAAAAAAAGGAAAGGGATTAAACTTGCGTGCACACACTCACACACAAACACACTCCGGGTGCACCCAGTGAGTTTCTTCACAGGCTGACAGATCCAAGGGGAGGCTCTTATTTACGCTGTGTTTGAGTAAACACTGTGGTTTGCCTGCAGGCAAGCGTGGCCGGGCTACTGCATGTAACTGTAGAAAAAACAAAAGTCTGATGAAGGCAGGAATAAATCCGCTCTGCCGGTGAAGCAGAGGATCTGATGCCAGGCCCAGACATACCCCAAACCCAACTTTTTCAGATCAGAAAGTTTGTTAGTAAGCTGGAGAGAGTTTAGCTCAGGGTTCAGCATGCCCCTGATGTGAGCCAAAAAAGATACTCTTGATCTAAGTTTAAAAAGGCATGAGTGCTGTTCTGCCTCAGCACACATTTTAATATTTCTATCTACAAGATGAGAAAAACAACCTGTTGCATGAAGACTTTTAAAGAATTGAGTTGTTATTTTGGAAGAATTGCTCATAAGTGAGTCTACATCAGATCTTCTTTTTTGTCTTAAGCTGAACCCGATTTCTTGCCTTCCTGTTTGGCTTCTTACATCAGCCCCTTTGTTTCCCCTCTGTTCTTTACACTTAAGCCACTTAGTTTGATGCTTACTTGCTCTTATACAGTGATAAGTGCAGGCGTTTAGACAGAGAAGGCTGATCCGCACCTAAGTTATTTTTCTTCATAGCTTAGGGAGGCACATGTCAGAGGTTCACCTTGAGCAGTGATAAAATATGAAAAACACACCAAAACAAAGCAGAAGCTATCTGTTCTTGCATTTGTGTGAGTGATGTTGCATGAGAGCTGCATATTCATCAGTCCCACCGGAGTCGCAAGATTTCTCTCTGATTCCTGAGCTTGAAACAGACTGCATTTGTAGAAGCACAGTTAAATGTTTCCAAACCTTTCATTTCTTTGATTATGATGACGTTAAGCTGCATGTACATGGTTGAATTTTAAATTAATACCTCTCCAAGAGGCATTATGTCATGGATGATACGTAGATGATGTTTGGTTATGCATAACAGAATCTAGACCGAGTTAGAAGTATAAACCGTGTTAGGGTTGGGTATAATTTCAGCTTTAGTGATTCCACTTCTGCTTATCAACACTGGTCTTTAGAGATTAATGTTCATGATTTGATTGCTTCATTTTTGAAGATTCAAAGAACTGAGGAGTGTTAAAAGAACAAATATCAGCCTGTCTCTAATGTCAGGACATTTAGATTCTCAAAAGTGACCAATCTGTTGTGACAAGATGTATTATTAATTTAAAAAAAGAACATTACTGTTTTTAAGAAAGATGGCTCCACAAGATATACTGCAAACCAAAACTTCTTTGATAAATAGTAGAAACACATCACAAAGTACATTACACCATAACACAGTATCAACATACAGAGTGAACACTGGCAACTTAACAGTAACAAATAGATGTAACCTCTTAACCTGAAATCTAGTCACCACACTGTGACAGTTCCACTCTATCCTTCTATCTACTTATTCATCATTATAGTGAACAGAGTTAAGGCATTACAGGGTGGTGGTATGTGTTACACCTATTTGTCCTCTTTAAGGAAGTTCAGCTAGAATTACAACTCCTTTTTTAGCTTCTGCATCAAAGTTGACATGTTCTGTTACATTAGCACAGCAGATATTGGCAAAAGTAGATGAGTAAAACTTATCTGACTGAGGTAAAAATGTATCTAACTTTAAGGTAACCAAATTAAGTGCAACCAAACTTCACATGCCTGATTGAATTCATGAACCCCAGAAATCTAAGACCTATATGTGTGTAATGTGTGTTCAGCATTGCTTTTGCAATTCCAAATTAAGGATCATTGTCAAGGGGTTTTGACCAATCAGAATTAAGTATTTAAAACAGCTGAGGAGCTCTCTTAAGAGCTACAAATGCTTAGTAAATAACCTCTGTTGGACTAGGATTGACTTTAGGATGGGAAAAAAAATCATAATTCTCTGAGTTTTTTCACTAGGATTATCTCTTGGCACTAAGGAGTTTTAAGACTTGGCCTCTGATATCTGAAGTTGGTGTTCTAACATACAGACAAGTGTTGGCCAGTGGATGAAGGGGTGGATTTGGCTTTGTGTTTTCTATCAGACAGAAAATTTCATGTAATGGGAGACAAACTTTGAATAAGCTTGTAAAATATCTATGGTGAGGGCAGAAACCAACCTCTGCTAATTAGTGAAAAAGCAGCTCTGCAGCTTCACTCAGAAAACAAAGGCATGAAAAAGTCTTCTGATTTGGACGGTCTGTTAGGACAACATAACCACAAACACATTTGTCTGCTATTAAAGCCCAAACTTCTTAACAACGTGTAGTGGTTATTTGAAGTGGCTGACATAACACTCATGAAGAGGTACCCAGTTTACAGCAAGCAAACACCTGACCAGATCATCATCTTAAGGTTCTCAGATTAACTAAAATGTAAGCAGTTCAGTATCATAAAAATGAACCATTTTGATGTCTTGGTGTGTAATGACAATGTTCTTGACTGTAAACAGGTTTCTGCTGTAAAGTTTAAAGTTTAATATGGGTGTCTTTAGGGAATGCCTGATTATCACAGCCACCCCAAAAGGCCTTGCAACAAATTGTCAATACGTTTCAGTTTTTGATCTGACACAGATTTGCTTGTTGCTCAGAAATTCTCTCGGATAGAATTTTTTAAAGATCCTGCAGAAATAGTTATTAAGACCATTCCAAGGCTGCATGAAAACTTCCATACACTAGGATAATCATTTTTTTTTGGTGGGTGCAATGAATTTCACCCGGTCAAATTTAACAGTTGGCAGTTGAACTCAGTGTGAAAACACACTTTAATCCAAGGTGGAAGACTGTTAGCCCTTTTTTGTAACAGTGTCACTGTAGTTCGAGCCTCTGTGGACATTTCCTCTCCTGCCCTTTAAGATGTAATCACTACACACAGTCACAGCCTGATCCACAGCATCAGTGACATAAGTCTTAACCACAGACATATGAACTCCAAACGTTAGTCTTGTTGGTATGCTTATTTAGATCCCCCAGTGGCTGGATAAAGGTCTGAACATGAAAAAGGGTATAATTGGTGCTCTGGTTTGCACTTTGAAGGACTCTGTTTTATTTGTGTCTTATTTGTGGTTCTGTTACTGAAGTAATATGCATGCCCACAATGTTAACAAGCACAGAGATAAAGACACCTCTGCCTTTGAAGTCCCACTCCGATTTTTTTTTTAACTACTGAAAGACCCACTCCGATGAAAATCATGTTTTTCTTGTCTACATGTTCATATGGCATTTCTCTGATGCTACAGGACATATCATGAGAAAAATAAGTTCGAGATTGCATTTCTTAGTATTTCTGCACTCAAATCGCTGTGAATTTCTCACAGATCAAAACTGCGGGCTCAAACACAGTAAGATTTCCCACGTAGCAGACCCAAACTCCACCCCCTGAGCCCTGTTATGATCGCGGAACAAGTGTCTGCATTAGTGGATTGCTATGTTCGTAAGAAAGCTAATTACAATGTTAACTTTCATCCTGTCCCCAAAATAGTACACTTTAAGTATTTGAACAAAAAAACAACCAGAGTGAGACTTTTAAGTTTTCTCAGTGGTCTTTAAATAGTGATTATTAAGCTTTTAGCCAAAATCCCGCCACCTGTATCATTATCATTTTCATTATTTCAATCATAAGCGCTTCACCTCTGAGTCGTGGGCGGAGACAGCACCGCTCTGCACACTCCTCTTTACGCTCCTCTTCACGCTACCTTGCAGCCTAACATTTGCAGTGTAGGAGAAGTAGCAGGTAACAGGAACTATTCAGCTCTTGGACACTAATGTCTTTGGGGACATGATGAAAGTAAATATTATAATTAGCTTTCTCACAAGTTTGCAATCCGCTAACGCACACACGTGTTCTGTGATTGTCCTCTCTATTTCTCTGAGTGTGGCCTGCGTAGCGGAGCTCCGGGGACGGGGCTTGGATTTGTGACGTGGGAAATCTCACTGTGTCTGAACCTGCCGTTAAGGTCTGCCAGAGATTCACAGTGATTTGAATGCAGAAATACTCAGAAATGCAATTTCACACTTACCTTTCTTATGATATGTCCTGTAGCATCAGAAAAATGCCATATGAACATGTAGACAACCAGAAAAACATGATTTTCATCGGAGTGGGTCTTAAAATCGAGCATTTACCGAGTATCTGTGATGTTGACAGGATTGCAACTTGGGACACAGATACAGAGACTGCCTGCACAGTGGTCAGTTGTCCCCTTTGTATAAGGGGCTGCATAGGTAGATGGTTATCAGAGTCTAGTCCTTGAAACTAAGAGAGTGGTGTTGCAGGTCAAGTTCAAATGAGTAATTGTGTAGCCTTACCCTCACGTTTGCATAACATTTACCCTTTTAATGACAAAACTCTACAAAAACAAGCAGGGGTCTTCATCAGTGTCGGGGTCGGACCATTTGATAAATTCTGTAATCAGTGTCAGCTCACTGAGAAAGTGTAGCCTGCTGTCCTCCGTGATGGCTGAACATTCTTTCACATCATCCTATTAACACTGATGGTTTGCATGTGACTGATTCACAGCTGGATGCTGATTAAACTGCTGGGACTTGCTGCAACACTGAATGTTCTCTCTAATGTTGCAGAGCTCTGTTGTTGTTTTTAGTGCAGGCATGGAATGCTTTTCCAACACTGACACTACTCTGGTTAAATAATTTTTGTTTAATGGCAGTTAAGACTTGACAGGATTTGACACCCTGCACTACATATTTGGGATTGAACAGTTCAGGCGTCTTTTCTGTTCAGTTTTCATCAGCACAGTCACCCTGAGCCAAACAGCACAGATGAGATTCATCTTGGCTGGCATATACACTACAGGCCAAAAGTTTGGAAGCAAGATCAGATTTGTACAAAAAAGATCATAGTTTCATATAATTTGCAACATAAAAAAACATGACTATTGTGTAAAGAGCAACTTATCAGAAGACATTTTGACTATAATGATTAGGTATTTGAGTTATTGTTGCTTAGACTTTGCTTTCTTTAAAGTAACCTCCTCTGGCTTTAACAACAGCTTGGCATTCCAGGCATTTGTTCCACAAGTTTTTTAAGGTGTATTCCAGGGATTGCATTCCAAGCTTTCTTAAGTTCATTAAAAAGAGACTGCTGATTCGTGGGACACATTTTTCTGACCGATCAATCCAATTCATCCCGCACAAGCTCAATTGGAGAAAGGTCTGGAGACTGAGGGGGCCAAACCATCTTTTGAAGAACACCTTCCTCTTCTTTTGTGTCTAGGTAACCCTGACAGAGCTTGGCAGAGTGCTTAGGGTCATTGTCTTGCTGCAAAACAAACTTATGAGCCACAAGTCTGAGTCCAGATGGAACAGCATGGTGCTGGAGGATGGAGTGGTACTGTTCCTTCTTCGTGATACCCTATACTTCAAACAAATCTCCTACTCCATCACCTGCAAAACATCCCCATACCATGGAACTACCACCTCCATGCTGAATTGTGGGTGTAACACATGGTGCTTTCAGACGTTCACCAGTTTTTCTGCGGACATAGACTCTGCGTTTTGAACCAAACAGTGCAAACTTGTTTCTAGTCATTATAAGTTCAATTTTTGTGAGCTTTTGCCCACTCATATCTCTTTTTCTTGTTCTGTGGACGAAGTAGTTTTTTTTTGCAGATACACAACCCTTCAGACCAGCCTTTCTCAAATGTCTTTTCACAGATGTCAGAGATATGGGTTTCAACCTTGTCATGTTGATTCCCTCCCTTATTTTTGGTGCTGTCTTTTGCCGATCTCTCTTACTGGTGACAATGATGTGTTTATCCTCTGCTTTTGTAGTCACTCTCTTTCTTCCAGGTCTTTTTCTATCATCATAACTTCCAGGTTCCTCTAGTCTCTTCAGAGTGTAGTGGACTCCTTTGTTAAACAGCTTTAGGCGTTTGCAGTTTCTCTTTCTGTGTATCCTTCTTTCCTCAATGTACAAATCTGTACTTTTGTTTCTTTACTCAGTTGCTTCTTTCTAGCCATTTTTGCGGTAGTTTGAACGCAGTTGAGATTTATTAGGATTTTTGTATGCAGACTCTCAAAAGCCAAAAAGTTGAAGTGAATAATCCAACTGTGATTTGTTTTTTTGTTTTTGCACTGAAGTTGTGACCTTTGCAAATGTTTTCAACCCTAAAACTAAGCCCTTATCTTTTGCTGACATATATTTAGCAATGGTCTGTTAACATCAATGTATATCTAAAGGTAAATGGAGTAAAATGGTGCATTTCCATGAAAGCAACATCTGATCATGGAGTAAATACATCCCAAAATACATAAAACTCATACTGGATTTAAAAAAAAGGCATTGTGAACAAAAACTTGAAGTTACTCACAACTGATCGGCCTGTAATGGCCTTGCTTCCAAACTTTTGGCCTGCCGTGTATGTGGGTCATTGTTTCTCGCTGACATCTTTTTGAACTGCCGGCACATCTCAGGAAATTAAATCAGAGCGCAGCTTTTTAGTCAAGAATCTACCACAGTTCACAATCTGTTAGTTGCTCCTGTGTGATGAATCAACCAACAACTGACTGTTTTGTTAAACATTACTACATTGTCCTGTGGCTGAACCACTCACATCAAATCATTTATCTGGTCTTGCTCATTATTTTTAATTAAATATGACCAAAAGATTATAGCATGCTGGATAGATGTGTTTTGATATTGCATGACTTACCATCAGCTGTGTTGCTTTTAATAACCAAGGCTGACACTGTGATTTCTGCTCTTCTAAGTCACACTTTAAGTTTTCCTTAGGGGTGGAGGAGGGAGGTGGCAGATCATTCTGGTCTGAGCTGTCAGATGTTAACAGGATCTTATGTGCAGGCTGAAGCCGTTTGAGCTGTTTTAAAAGAAATTAAAACTGAGTGTTTGCCACACACCTTGTCACGCGACGGTCAACGCTTTCCAGCTATGCTAAAAATGTGCAGTGAACTGACAGACACTCCCTCCACCTTTCTAATAATTTAAGTGAAGTTTCAGGGAACTTGATGTACAAAAATAGCACCCTGTCCAAGTGCCGGCTGCGCTAATGGACTGGGTGACTCAGGCTTGATGTAAAATTCAGGTGTGATAGCAGCCTCAGTCAGAGAGTGTACTAGGGCAGTGCACTGAACTCATTCAGTCTGTGCCTGCTCACACAGTATGACGTCAAATGTGGTTTTTAAGGCTAGGTGGAAGGAGATTACTTTGAAGCATGTAGGAATGTAATCCAAGTAGAAAAAAAAGCTGCAACTCAATTTTGGGCTTGTTTCCATTTCACTTTCTATCAGGTAAAATGTTTTTATTCACAGAATCAACCCTTGTACAGCTTTGCCTTTTGTGTGAGCCCAGTAAAGCGTATACTTGTTTAGAGATTGAGGTTTGCTGAAAAACTCTTTCTCCTCTGGTTTGGAGATTACATTACAATGGTGCACATTTAAGAGGGATTGGACACAAACTGAGTCACCCACGAGGTTACTGTTTTATGGGATTAGTTTCAAAACAGTTTTTATTGTGGAGATTTCAATTGATCAGTTTTGTATAGACACTGTAAACCCAGATAAGTAGACTCTACTTAAAAGAAATCAAGATAACTCATTGCCTTATATTTTTTTAAAATCCCACTCCGATCATTGTTTCTTTTACTACTTATAGTGTTCTCAGTGGTCTTTAAATTGTGATTATGAAGTTTTTACCAAAAATCACATTACCGGTGTCATTTTCAAGGGCTTTTCTTCTGCAGAGCTCCAGTAGATCATTAGCGATTCGCCTCTAAGTTGTGGACGGAGACAGCACTGCTCTGCACAATCAGCTTCACGTTAGCTTGCAGTAGTGGTGTGTCGGTCATGAACGAACGGATCAAAAGAACTAGTTCTTTTTGGTGAACAAAATGAACGAGGTCACCCCCCCCTAAATGATCCGTTCAGTTCTTTTGATTGGCTGAAGAGTCAGTTCACCGTTCCTTAGGGCAGGACTAACTCCGTGCTTGCCTGTCTTATCCTATCGTTGCGCCTCGCTCTGTGGGTGGGTGGGCCTTAGAGAAGCAGCAGCAGTACTGAGCTGACTGAAAGACCAGGACCGATGACCGACTCGGTCTCCGTCTTTTCAGTCAGCTCGGTCTGACCGAGAGATTGACCGACTCTCAGACTGACTGAGTACAAGCGTTCACTCTCTGCGAGGTGCTGTCAGCCTGTCACTAGCCGACCGACTTGTGAACGCAACGGGATGTACTGAATAAAATAAACTATAAGGCAGTCTCTTGCGGGGGGTATCTGTACTCACGAGTCCAACAAACAGTGCCACGGCCACTGCACGAGCCGACAACCGAGCCCTAGGGAGCGGGACAGTCACACACACACACACACACACACACACACACAGGCACACAGCTGCTGCTGCAGCCAGAGGCAGAGACTCACTAGCAGAAGGTCTAGCATGCTAAGCTAACAAACAGTGGTTGATAAGAGCACGCGGGGTTGCTTGAGGCAGCCGGATGCGTTTGTCCAGCAAAATATCCTGATGCAGTACGGTGTCTGTGTACAGACACATCTGTATTCAGCCACCGTTTGAATTAGTACCAATGCGTAATGTGCTAGCCTAGCTATATAGCTTGGTTTAGCGTGGTCAACATGCCGGTGTTTCGGTGTAAAAAGTGACCCTGTTACCTGGAAACTTTCAAAAAAATGCGCATGAGATTGTCCCAAGTCGCACAGCTGTTGAATACGTATCCTTAGAGCTCTCTGTGTTTTGAATGTCAGCAAAGATGTATCTGTTGGAAATACTTGATGTTATTGTCACAAAGGGAGCTAAGAGGCTCTCGATCGTTTAGAGTCTGAACAGATCTCCCCCTGCATAAACCCGATCAGCCGTGTCAAGTCAGTACGTTCACTCACTGAACGAACGTGAACATGAGCGAACGGACTGACTAACGACCAATTGACCGAAATGAACGGGTATTTTTACTGAACGAGCCGGAATGATCCGGTTCACTGAAATGACCGGTTTTGCCCACCACTAGCTTGCAGCCTAACATTGCCAGTGTAGTAGAAGGGGCAGGTAAAATAGGAGCTTTTTAGCTCTCAGACACTTATGTCTTTAAGGACACGATGAAAGTTAATTTAATAATTAGCTTTCTTACAAGCATTGCAGTTCGCTAATGCACACGCATGTTCTGCGATCATCCTCTCTATTTCTCTTCGATATGCAGAGTATGGCCTGCATAGCGGAGCTCCGGGGACGGAGCTTGGATTGATTAGATATGACATCTCACTGTTTCTGAACCTGCTGTTTGGTTCTGCCAGAGATTCACAGCGATTTGGTTGAAGAAATACTCAGAAAAGCAATTGTGTAGTTTAACTGAACAAACTTAACATCTTTAGATTAAAACTCAGAATGTAATTCAATCAATAGAGCAGTGCAACATTACATTGATCCCTTTTTTTAATTTATTGAGCATATCTATTTTCAAAAACAAAAGAAATTAACAAAGCCTTGGCCTCATATGTTTTCCTGTTCATGGTAGAGGATCCCCCCTGGCACATCATTGTACGAACCTCCTTCATCATCGACGTCCTGTAAGAAATAATTATTTTCTCACTAATAAAACCACAATATTTACACGTTCACTCCATCCTCAGCTAGCTAGAGTTAGATGAGCTAAGGAAAAATGACAGTTAACTAACAGCGTAATGTTAAAGCTTTTGAAAATAACAATTTGAAATCGACTCTCCAAATGAACCCAAAAGCCACAGGGCATTAACTAAATCGTAAAACCTTGAAGAGGCATCACAGCTAAGAGTGGAACTCATACCCAACTAACAAAAAGAATTAACCAAACTAAATAAAGAAAATAAAAATAAAGTGAGCTAGTGTGCACCAACGTACCAGGATTTTTGTCGATAAGTGGCTAAGTCAGCTGCTTCACCGTCTCAGCTCAACTTTAGCTGTCAGGTAGCAACAGAGAAAGAAGTCTACCTTTATTGTTTAGATAAATTTATTTCTCCAAATACTTCTACAAACATGTTGATTTGACATATTTCTTCCCAATCCTAGCCCTGCAGAATTTGTGGAACTACAGCTGCAACAAGTAGGACCATTTATAGCTCATACCTGATATTCTTTTGGATACGTAATGTCATTTTTTAGAAAACTTAACTGTGCTTGCACTCGCATACGTGATACTGGACAAGAGGAGAGAGTAATGCTGTATCCAAACTGTTCTAAAAAAACATTTACGGAAATGAATTACATGTAGAGTCATTTTAGGATATGATTTAACACCAGTTCTCATGGCATTAGAAGGTTAATATATGACTGAAGAGCACCCCACCCCCACCCTTGTTTTTGTTTCTAATAGGAAAAAAAAGTAGTGGAGTAAAGAAATTATACCAAATTGCAAAACTCACAAATCTCAACACGTGAAATCCCCAAAAAATCCAATCTGCTCTCAGTTTATTAATTTAGCCAAGCCGGGACACAAGGACATTGTCCCAGAATTGGTATGTTATACCAAGATACTTAACACAAAGGCTGCTCAAGACCAGATGGGATTAGACTGAGACCCTCCCATCCTATCTTTAACCACAGGAGTGAAACACTTTGCAGCTTTTATCAAGTTACAGTGAAGAGTAGGGTTGGGTATCGATGGGGACCGGGACTAACATTTCGATTCTTCTGGTATCGTTCAAAAATTTAAATTTCGATTCCAAGTTTCGATGCCAAAAATCAACGAAGAAGAAGCCGCTTAACACCATCGAGGATGGAGCGTATGAGACGAAGCCACACAGAAAGTGAAGAGAGACAGAGAGAGAAAGTACATTGCAACCCACAGCAATGCAGCCACTGTGGGTTACAATGCACTCTCTCGCTCTGTCTCTCTCCTCTCTCTGTGTGTGGCTTCGTCTCATACGCCCCGTCCTCGTTGGTGTTCGGCAGCTTCTTCTTCGTTGGTCAAAAGTTTGGCTAACTTTAGCAGGAAGAATGAGCTCTTATCTCAATGCAACATTAGCAATATAGTTAGATCATGCAAAGGAGGGTAAACGACCAACATGATTAAACACCTCAGGATTCATGGAGGAGAAAGAAATACCTGAGTGCTCATCTTTGACGCGCTTCGCCGGTGTTGTGCCATAGAATGCACCCCTGCCGTAGAATGCACCCCTGACAGGAGCACAGTTGAAAGTACAGGACAAGGCGAAACAATCCAAGTTTTCCTTACCGTTGAACGGAAACTAACGCGTGTGCCTTTAACGATTTCATTCAGGCTATTCAGATATGCCAGAAAACAATAGCCCTCTGATTGGGAATATTTACTGTCCCGAAAATATAATGTTCTCTACCTTAACAGCTTACTGTACAGTTTATATACCCAAGTCACCTCTATGTGTGCATTTTTTAAACACATAAAAACAAAACAAAAGTTTACTGCTCCATTAGACATGTTTTCATGATCTAATACTTGTGTTTTTTTTTAATATGAGATCATTGTCTTCCACTTTGAGGAGCTAATGAGTGGAGGGGAGGCATTCTACAGCAGGGGTGCATTCTACAGCACAACACCTGTCTTCCGCTAACCAGTCAGGATCAGATAAGTGAAACAATAAATTACTTCTGTCCTCTGCTAACTTTGAAGCGGTAAACAAATTGTACTGTGTACGGTGAGTAAACTTAAATATCCAACTAACGTTAGCCCTTGTACTTTTTCATAGACAAACGACCTGACAACAAAAATTTATATTTATATACTGGTTGAAAATAGCCCTGAGAAATTCATAGTAAAGTTCTTAAAAAGTTAATATGATTTAAAAATTCATGGAGAAGTTCAGAAATGTCATCCAAAAAGAAGAGCTCCGGTTAGCGCCCTCATCCAACCTTTGCTTTTTTTTTTTTTTTTGATATCCTGCCTTTTAAAAGAATCGAAATAGAGAACCGATGAGAATCGGAATCGAAATGAGGAATGGAAATCGGAATCGTTCAAAATCAAACGATACCCAACCCTAGTGAAGAGGAAAAACTTTCTGTAACAGGCAGAAACCTCGAGCAGAACCAGACTCATGTAAGACAGTCATCTGCCGAGACTGCATTAGGTTTAGAAAGGGGAGAGAATGGTCAGAGGTGCGATTGACGCAGGCAGCAACATGTCTGCAGCAGCAATCCATTGGGACCTCATGAGAGATGAGTGACTTTAACACTGAGCCACTGCTATCTGGTCTTTCTGTTCAGTTTATTCATGGATCATCTGCTCCATACAGAACTCTGTAGATACAGAACTCTGTAGATCCAAATGAGTCAGAGGAATACAGATGTTTTTACAGAGGAATCAGATTGTGCTTCTTCTGATATTTAGGCGCGTGCAAATGTAAGGTTCAGAGTCAGTGATTCAAAAGTTTGTAAGTTTGAGACTGAATCCATGTCTGTGGTCTGTTTATCACCTGTTTTAAATGATAGGATTGGTTCTACATGGCTTCCTGAAATGAAAAGACTCTTCTGCCACCCTGGAATGGAAAAGTAAACCTGCACTGATGCTTGACTCTTTCAGTGATAATTGCCTGTCATTTAGTGGGATGTGCTATCACAGTGTAGCTGCCACCTGAGCAGCAGTGATGTGCTGAAAGACACTGACAGCTTCCTGCATCCTCTCTAACTGCAGGTGGTTTATACACTCTGTCATCCCCTCTGAGCCCCTGTTCGTAGTGTTTTTAAAACACACACAATCCTGGTGCTGTGGCCTGAGACAGCCTCCTCCCAAGCAGATTAAATTCTAGCTTCCTCTTGATTCCCCCCGCTAAAAAGGAAAACATTTTTGAGCTAATCTCTTTTCTTGACATGAATTCATAAACAGGCAGAACGGCTCACCTTTCTGCGTCTGGGCTGTCAGGGATTAATCCTCCTATTAGCGTGAGAGACGAGGATACAAGCAGTGCTGCTTGAACAGAACAGATAACATCTGGTTGAGACTAAAGCAGTCAGGAGTCATTTGTATCAAACAGACTGAATGTCTCCTTCTGGGATGAGGCTGCTTTAAGAATATTGTTACCAGATTAGACTTTTACTGTCTAACTCAACAGAAAGGTCACACAGAGGTGAGGAATCTGCAGCACCTATTGTGAAAATCATTTTGACTCAGACAACATCACCAAGATGCCCTGACTTCAGAATCTCAGCCGACCGATTCAACAAAGCTATTCAGACTGGCGTCTCCTGAAAGTATTCAGATTTCATTTGTCGATGACTCATTCAGCAAACTCTCCTTTGAAGGTCAGACGTTTGTGAGACCTTTGAAATGGATTTGAAAATCTCCTTTTAATAAAAATGTTCAGCTCGAAGAAGAAACTCGCTATCCCTTAGGCTGAGAGTAAGAGACATGGTAGTCTGATTTCTGCCAGGAAACCATTCTTTAACTTAGCATTTGGCTACTTCATTTTGCTAATAGTAGGTTGGAGAAAATGACCTCGCCTCGTTCAGACAACATCTGGAAATGCCATTTAACAAATACCATCAATCCAGCATACCTGTCACACAGCTGTGTGTTTCGAAAGTGGTTAACTATAATGCCTGATCAGGTTTGTGTCACATCTATTGTTAAGCCTCATGTAAATGTGACAATCAGAGGTAGACCTATGAATTGGCTAGCGGATTGAAGAGTCAATGAAAGGAATGAAAAGATAACCACTGGATGTTTGCATCAGCTGATACCTGCTCTCACAAGGCAAATTAAAAAACAATGTCTGCTGACACTGAACACTGTGCATGCTGTGAGGATATTTGTCCGTGTGAAAGTAGGGTTGGGTGGTATCCACATTTTGATACCGTCAAACTGTCTCCACGTTTTTCCGTCATATACAGTATTACCATGACTAATTAAGAATTATGACTTAAGGCTCAGACAGCATTACCAAACCGTTGGCTTGTGCCTACACCATTCAGAAACTAAATACTAAACACTCATAATGAAACAATAACAACATAAGGTGTACAATATTAGCAACTTTTATTAGAAATAGTTTAAAAAGTGCACAACAGTCAAACAATTAAATTAACATAACCATCCAGAACAGATTTCTATTGTTCTATATTTCTAAAAAAAAAAAACACTATTGTGCTTGCTCTGTCTTACTTCACTCTCTTTCTCCACTCTCTTTTTCTCCCTCACCCCTGTCAAAGTTGCAGTTTTGGTGGCACTGTTCAAGATTACTGTGATTTATACCATGCATCATATGTTGACAGAAAGCACAGATACTCAGCTGTCTGTCAGTGTTGGAATTTTTCAGATTGAGCAAAGTTTCAAGGAGTTACATTGCTGAGAAGCTGTGTAGCGCTCTGCAGTTACTTCCTGTGTTTTGCAATGACAGCCTACTTCATATGGTTACGGCTACCGTAGTAAATCCTATATAGGCGCATGCCCACAATTTTCCAACACTGTTGAAATGTTTCTGATCGGACAAACTTTGACAAAGTTACGGTAACAAAAGTCTGGGCATACAAAACATAGCGCCGGGCTATGACGGTGTTAAAACTGATACTGTTGCTTTTGAAAGACATCGCCAGTATACCTTTATACCTTGTCACTGACCAACCCTAAGTGAAAGTGATTGATAGGTTTGACTGCTGCCCTCTGATCAGCATATGTATATTAGCATAAAAACAAGTGTTTAATTCTCAGGTCTGTAATAGAATACCGACTGCTGGACCTTGACGTCCCTTGGAAAGCACTTTGTTTCTCCTAGATACCACAGCTGGGTTTATAGTTTCATGAACATATTATACAGAAAAGTTTGATGACTCAACTAGAGTTGGTTTACAGATTATTTTCAGCCCTGAGGCAGAGCTAGAGGATATCTATTCCCCCCTTTACTGTGCATTTCCCAAAATATGCAACTATTACTCATGTACATTGAGCTCACTGCTCGTTGTCTGAGACTGTTGCAAGAGGTGGAGAACTGTGAAGTCAACACGATCTGTACTCGGATGAACAAAGTTGAAAAATAAATGCCGGAGAACACTATTTAGAGCTGTAAATGATTTATTAGTGGAGCTTTTTTTGGGGGGGGGGGGGTTCAGAGTTTCAGAGTTCTTCCCTCTCCAGCTACAGCAGCACATAGAAGTCATCGGCTTATTTGGAGGAATCCCATTTTCCAGAGAGATTTACAGAGCTATTTCTGGACTCCATCAAACTTAGAGGTGTGTGGCAGAATACTTTCACTCGGCTCTAAGTGTGATGAGAAAGGATGTCTTTTCCATGATGCTGCTGCTGTGCTGCAGGGGGATTTCTCAACAGTGTCACTCAGCGGCTTCATTTTGAAAGCCGGCATGTCTGAATGGCCACAAGAGGATACAGTATGTGTATTCGGTGAAGGGTTGTGCTAGAATTTTAATCGCTTCGTTTTTAGGGAAGTTGAACTTTTCTATTCTTAGGAATTTAAAGTACATTCACACCAAATTCAGTTAAAGAGCAGTGACAAAACCAGCGCACAGTCCAGGACCTCGGGAGGAGACAAGGTGATGGCTGGTTCAATATACAAGGCTGTGCTGTATCGATGCAGTGCAATGTGGTGTGAAGCTCTCTACAGCATAGTTACAACCCTCAGCACTTCAATCAATGAGCTTTACAATTTAGAATTTCTTTTGGAATAATGACATTTCATGATATATATATATTTTTTATCTAATAATTTTACCCCATTCAAATATATTGAAACTGTGCTAAAGGTGTAGTAGAACGTTATCCTCATTTGTCTTTGTCACACTAATATCTTTGCTTCTCCTCAGTTCAGTCTTTTCTGTTATTGTGTCTCCTCTTGCTGTACATGCATTGTAGTTTCCAGACACAATCATGTGTTTTCACATACAAAGAGTCATCATTTGAAACAGCCAAACTGCTGTTCACTCCTGAGAGTGATTCACAATGTAGAGCTCGGGCACCTCTAGATCTTCCTGCTGTTTGTTTATAGCAATCAAAGTTATCTCCCTGGATTAAAGTAGTGGTGATTTATTGACGTCAAAATCAGATATTGAATTTTTCCTGCTTCGTCTCCCACAGCAGGTCATTTCAAAGACTCCTGTAACAGTGTGATTGCTCCTTGATTGCAACACCCACATGATTTTCAACCTTGAAAGTTTGGTTGTACATTTGACTGATGCTGGATGCTTGGAAGAAAAAAATATGTTATTAATGGGTACAGGAAAGTTATTTGAGAGGTGTTTTGAATTCCATTTTTATGAAAATTTGAATGTTAAATAAGTGAAGAGCAACAGCCCATTCACTGCAAATGAGAAGCTCTTCACAAACAACAAAAAACAGGGACGTACTTAACATGAATGAAATTGTGGACATCATAAAAGAATTAGTAGCTTTCAGACTTATATAGCAACCCAAGGAACTGACTGGTTTTCACGATGAGGCATTAACTGTGCACACACAATGACAGCTAATGTGCACTATTAGTATATTGGCCATACGAATGTATTTTGATGTGCTATTTAACTGCATCACAAGAACCTTCATCCAGAAGCACAAAGAGTTTATGATAAGTGAGAATGAAAAAAAAAGCACCACACACAACAAACTCTTTTAACCAATAACTGGACTGCAGACTCTTTAAACCAGAAACATCTGAACACCTTGCTGTCTTGGTCCTACATAACTTCAGAGTAAGCAAACATGGCGGATTGCAGGATGGACATCAAGCTAAACAGAATTATTGCTTTGTTAGTTGTGGTAGCAGTTTGTGTCCAGCTCTTCTCCTAATCAGTTTGATTGATCTGTTTTACAGGAAACACTGGGTAATCTATCATGTTTGGGGCTGCACAATTAATAGATTCTAAATCGTAATTGGATTATTTGATTATGGCAATGTAAAAAAAAATTAAAATTGTTGAATCGCTTTTCCTCTTTATCATGTCCCGCGCCTCCAGGCCACTGTAGGCTCCCCAGTTCACACACATACCAGTGTAAACAAAATGGCGTTTGCAAATGAAGACGATCGTTTTGTGGCTAAATAGGACAAGTGCAAGTCAGTCATGTGAAATTGGTATGCTTTGCAGTTTCTAATGAAGAGCAAACCACTCCCCTCTGCAAAATCTGTCAACCCGTCCATATGGGATTGAGTTCAGGAGTAAACGCAAACGTTTTTTGTCGTATCAGCATTCATTCACGCGGAAACTGCGTTTCTGGTGACTGTAAACGGTACTTTTTGAAAACAGGTCAGAGAGTACATAGATCCGTATATGACTACCATTTCATCTCCTTGTGGATACCTGTCTGCATCTTTCGAAATGATTATACAGGGCTCTCAAGTTTTGAACTAAGCTTAGAGTGAGATTTTTTTTTTTTGTGATTGAAGATAATTATTAGTATAATAATCTAATAAATACAATGTAGTATGAGGGCCACATTAAGAAAAAAAATAAACTAGTAAAGTTACCTGTTGTGGAGGAGAGTTGTTAAAATCAGCACTGTGGAGCATTTAGATGTATTGTACTTTAGTATAGGTTCCACAAACATGGAGATACTTAATCCTTTAATACATCAGCATTACACTGTCATGAGTATCAGAACTTTAAAAAGAATGTATGAGAAATGCTGCTTTTGTGGAGGGGAAAATGGCTGGAAATGGCTTTTGTTTTGCTGCTGCAGACATGTTGCTGTACTAAATTCATCAATGCAGCTGTTAATAGCAATAGCATAGGGCTTTAGTTTATCATATGAGTTTATATGCCATGACGTGTTGAGGTCTCTGCATGTGTAGGTTACTGACTTACCGTAATCATCGGGTCTTTCTCGTCCTTATGAAACCTGCTCTATTTCGGCGAGTGTCTGTCTTCTTCTGTAGTCAAACCGAGAGATATCAAAATCTACCCGGACACAGCAATGGTGCTTTTTGATTGGCTGTTCAGTAGATATACTTTATTTGATTGGCTTGCGCGTGGCACACAGCTTCTAAACTCTCGGAGGAACTCACTTTATTCCTACCTGTTCAATAGTTAAAGAGGTGCAACTTGGTGGACATCACCATGTTCATTTAAATGCGTGAGAAATTCAATGTGTGGGAATGCGTGTGTCACACGCTGAATGCGTGAAACTTGAGAGCCCTGGATTATATGACACACAGCGCAACTCCTCTATAGCGCCTGCGCATGTCTGGTCAAAACAACCTATATATAAGCATGCTCCGTACTCTTCTTCTGTCTTTTGTGCATTTCCCCGGCAGCGTTACAGCGCCACTTACTGGCTTGGCTTATGTACTACATCATTTTCGGTGGTTTTTGAGAGATAATAGAAAAACTTATTTAAGTGAAGTTTGTTAAAGTTGTCTATAAATAAAAGATCAAAATCAAAATAGTTTTCAGAGAAAAAATCAGGATTTTATTTTTTGACCAAAATTGTGCAGCCCTACTCTCATGTTGTTGCTAAAATTTCATTTATTTCTGACATCCATTTAACTTCATACTACCTGCTGACTATTTTTTTAGCCCTCAAAGCTCTTACCTGACTGTCCTTGCAGTTCTCCCAATCAGCATGTCAAATCATAGATATGTTTAATAGTTATAATTTAATATTGGTCCAGCCATGATTGTTGCAGATTTGGGGATGGTGGAACATAACTCAGATCAGAGGGAAATCTTTGCAAAAAGCATCAAAAGCAGTCTTTGTAAGTGGTCAGGCGACACTATTGCAAAACACTGGGTATGATGGAGTAACTAACAGTTATCAAATAGTCAGTTCAGAGACTTGGAAATTGGGTCTTATCTGAAAATAGCTCTACTGAAAAACTTCCTTCTCATGGAAAATTTAAAGACTTTTTTTACAGGATTATTTTTAATCCATGGCTGTGAAACAAGCCTAGACCATCTCCATTCCAGCTCTATTCTCAGAATGTGTGTGTTAATGTGTGCCTTCACTCATGAGTGGTACTTGCTGGCAGATGCCCAGTACTAAGTGCAAATGTTGATCAGAGAGTTGGGATTAAAAAAAAGACTGCATCCCTTAGACCAATCCCATATTTTTCCGAAGCCAGCACAGAGATTGAAAGAGGCTCGCTAATTGATACAATTTTTTTCCCTCTTTCCAACTGAAGCCCCTGCTGGAGAGATGAGATACTCTGTATTCTCTTTTTTTCATCATTCTTTTCCTCCTCTTCAGCTATTTGACCCGATTTATCAGTGGCAGATAAAGCCAAACAAATCAGAGGAGTCGTGACTTCAAACTCGTTGCCCTTTGGCTGGTATCTAATGCGTTCCTCCCTCTGACACTCGTTTTCTCTCTCCTCTTCTCTCGGTTCTGCCTGTTCACTCTTCCTCTCCCCCGTCATGCCTTACGTATTCTGGGTCCTGATAATTAGTCGATCATGATTTGACTGATGGATTTTCTCTCTGTGGTTAATTCTTAATAATTATAATCTACACCCCCCATTTCATAAGAGAGGGGACGCTGTTTTGTTGCAGAATGAAATTTAGTCTTACATGAAAAATATATACTCTCATTTTTAATTTACTAACAAAAGAGCTGGAACAGGAACAACAAAACACTGTTAAAGCTGTGTAATGCTTGAAAATTCACCCGGAGGAACAACTCACAACTAAATAAATACATTAATTTGTGACAAGGTAGTCACATGACTCTGTGGTTTGACAAATCAAAGACTGACAATCTTTTTGGAAATCATGGTCATTGCATCCCCGCTCTAAAGAGGGTAAGGAAGGTCAGCCTGGCTCATACAGTTCAATAGCCAGCACCTTCAATGGTATGAGGATACCATGGTATTTATTAAAACGCCATTATTGCTGCACAGTCAAAGTTTTCGAGCAACTTATGCTGCCATCCAGACTCTGCTTTTGCGTAATACAGCAAGAGGACACTAAACCACAATATAAACGTATGACAACAGCACGGCTCTGTCGTAGAAGAGTCTGGGTACTAAACTCACCCACCTGCAGTCCTGACTTGTCACCTGTTTGATAATGTGGTACATCAGAAGTGTTAATAAGCAGAAGGAAAATAAGCCAGGACTACTTTCTGCGGATTGATATGACATGATGCGTGCGCTCTGCTTGGCTCTGGTGTTGCTCTTGTTATACAGACATTAATAACAATTGTTGTCAAGGGGTTCAGACCATAGACTGTATAAAGAATGGACCCCATCTGCCTCCTCACTGGGTGAAGCCACCGCAAGAACAGCACCCTCTGGTGACAGGCTGCAGTATACAGTGCATCCGGAAAGTATTAATACCACTCCACTTTTTCCACATTTTGTTATGTTACAGCCTTATTTCAAAATGGATTAAATTCCCTTATTCCCTCAAAAATTCTACACAAAATACCCCATAATGACAAAGCGAAAAACTTGTTTTAGAACATTTTGCAAATTTATTAAAAATAAGAACACTCAAATGTTGCATATACATAAGTATTCACACCCTTTACTCAATACTTGGTCGAAGCACCTTTGGCAGCGATTACAGCCTCCAGTCTTCTTGTGTACGATGCAACAAGCTTGGCACACCTGGATTTGGGGAGTTTTTCCCCATTCTTCCTTGCACATCCTCTCAAGCTCAGTGAGGTTGGATGGGCAGCGTCGGTGCACAGCTACTTTCAGGTCTTTCCAAAGATGTTCAATCGGGTTCAAGTCTGGGCTCTGGCTGGGCCACTCAAGGACATTCAGAGACTTGTCCTGAAGCCACTCCTTTTTCTTCTTGGCCGTGTGCTTAGGGTCATTGTCATGCTGGAAGATGAAGCGTCACCCCAGTCGAAGGTCTTGAGCGCTCTGGAGCAGGCTTTCATCAAGGATTTCGATGTACTTAACTGCATTAATTTTTCCCTTGATCCTGACAAGTCTCCCAGTTCCTGCTGCTGAAAAACATCCCCACAGCATGATGCTGCCAACACCATGCTTCACTGTAGGGATGGTATTGGCGAGGTGGTGAGCGGTGCCTGGTTTCCTCCAGACATGACGCTTGGCATTCAGGCCAAAGAGTTCGATCCTCATTTCATCAGACCAGAGAATTTTGTTTCTCCTGGTTTGTGAGTCCTTCAGGTGCATTCTAGCAAAGTCCAAGCGGGCTGTCATGTGCCTTTTACTGAGGAGTGGCTTCTGTCTGGCCACTCTACCATAAATGCCTGACTGGTGGAGTGCTGCAGAGATGGTGGTCCTTCTGTAGGGTTCTCCCATCTCCTCAGAGGAACGCTGGAGCTCTGTCAGAGTGACCATCGGGTTCTTGGTCACCTCCCTGACCAAGGGCCTTCTCCCCCGCTTGCTCATTTTGGCTGGGCGGCCAGCTCTAGGAAGAGTCCTGGTGGTTCCAAACGTCTTCCATTTCTTAATGATGGAGACCACTGTGCTTTTTGGGATCTTCAATGCAGCAGATATTTTTCTGTAACCTTCCCCAGATCTGTGCGCCGATACAACCCTTTTCAGAGGTCCACAGACAATTCTTTTGACTTCATGGCTTGGTTTGTGCTCTGACGTGCTCTGTCAGCTGTGGGATCTTATATAGACAGGTGTGGCTTTCCAAATCATGTCCAATCAGCTGAATTTGCCACAGGTGGACTGCAATCAAGTTGGAGGAACATTTCAAGGCTGATCAGTGGAAACAGGATGCACCTGAGCTCAATTTTGAGTTTTATAGCAAAGGGTGTGAATACTTATGTATATGCAACATTTGAGTGTCTTATTTTTAATAAATTTGTAAAATGTTCTAAAAACAAGTCTTTCACTTTGTCATTATGGGGTATTTTGTGTAGAATTTTTGAGGGGAAAAAAGGAATTTAATCCATTTTGGAATAAGGCTGTAACATAACAAAATGTGGAAAGAGGGAAGTGGTATAAATACTTTCTGGATGCACTGTAGGTCATCAATCCTGCCTCTTCCAGCAATCCCTATGGGGCTGTGGACAAACTTATGAAATTAGTTACACAGAATAAACATTTTTCTCCCCCCTGGTTGCAATGTTGACATGTAGTAACTGCAAGACTGGTTTGTGCTGAAGTCCTCTTTTTTTTCTGTGCAGCTCTATTTTCAAAAGTTATTAGGGGGTTCATGTTTTTTATGATTGACACTTGATATGGCCTATGGGCGTACGAAGACTGTGTAGCTCACCTGGCTGGGGGATACACTGTTTGAGTCGAGCGTCATCACAGCGACTCTTGGCGACCCCCCAGCCAAATGTGTACAACGCTATGGTGCAAGTGGTGGTTCCAGGAAGTGGAGAAAATCCTGGAAATACCAAAAGCACTTCGGCTTCAAATTCGTATAGTGACGGAAGATGGAGCCAAGTTGTCCATTATATACAGTCTCTGGTTCAGACTAATCAGAGTCAAGTATTGAATACAGCAGGGTGATAAGAAAGAGAGTTGTGGAATAAATAACTACATCAGACTAAAACATTAACATTATTAACTGCATTATTGCCTTTATCTGCTAACTCTATCCACAAAAAGAGAGAAACACTACAAGTACTTACTGCTGTCTTATTTGATGTTGAAACGTGGATCATTAAAGTCATATAAATAAAATCAGCAGTCATAAATTAGAAGATGATTCTGCTGGACATCGTGTAGATGCTTTAGTTTTCAAGGATGCACAGCAAGGTAGACGTTGTTTTTGAGTCAACCAGCTACATCTGCTCCAAACTGGAAGGTAGTGTATCCTCCGAGATGAAACCTCTCAGTGCTGTATGAACTTAATATTTCTGTAAGCACAAGTAGTAATTGAATGCAACCTCAAGTACGTTCTCACAAAGTGAAATGGAAGCTGTGATGTAGAAATTTTTCAGGATTCCGGGGTAGATGTGAAGGGAGAGTTCAGAGGGTGTAGATTCTGAGGAGCTTTAGTGCTCAGGATAAAGACTGAGCTGCTGTAGTCTCGGCAGGAGATGAATGTGGTGTGATTCTGCTGAGTAATCTCCTAATCTAACGTCGCACTTTGAAATACTTTTTCTTCTTCTCCTTTCAAAAGTAGTGCCAGACAGAGCCTTGTTCACAGTTTTGAAACTAGCTCCACTTTTTCTGTGCAATACCGTTCTACCACGTTTGTTGTCAGTTAACATGTGGTTATGAGGGTGGGTTTACTGATATTGGAAAGGGACATAATCATCAGACAGACTGTGATTTCTTTGTCATGGTATGTAAACACTGATGGGTGACTTAAGTACTCATAACAACTGAAACAAGACTGACAAATGATTATCACCTTACATCCCTATATTGTTTTCCCTGTTAGCACTTCAGGAGTATCAGGGAGGTTTCCTTTAATCTCACATCTGTTCACCCAATTTTTCACACTAACACACCTTGAAGTACACACATGCTATCAATGTTGTGTGCCCATGTAATTGGATGGGAAGAATCATGTTAGGAGCTTTGTGCCCCCAGCCATAGCCTCCTGCCGGCTCGCTCTGATTCCCGAGTTTGAGCTTTCTGCGGTCACTTCACTGCCCTGGAGGGGATAAACACTTGAGCTCAAGCTCTCACAATCTGTCCACTCCAAAAGGGGCTTTTAAGTGTCAGTGTTTTACCTTTTGACCTGGAGTGGCTCACACTTAGCCCTGCTAACACCAGCACAGGTTTGGTCGTAGGATCAAGCTCGCCTTCCCTCTCAGTTGCTCTTTTAAGCTGGCAAAACATAATTTACTTGACTCCAGCACTGTGACTCCCATGGGCCTAGAGTCTGAGAAGTTTACAACACAGCTAACCAGCCATAAAGGGATTTGGAGGCTTGAGGTTCTCTCATATAAACTGTTCAGAGAGGAGGATGGGGGACGCCTTTTAGCACTCTGGAAAACTATGAAGCTGCTGGGCTAGAAATATAATTAAAAAATAAATAAAAAGATGATTGTCTGAAGACCTCCTTTTAGTTATAGTGCTACATTTCAAGACCTCAGCAATTAACTAACTAAACTGCTTGAATGTGAGTTGAAATGAAATACAATTATTCCTAAATTAGTAGGGGTGAGTAAAAAGAATAGATACAGCATAGTATTGCAATATTTTGTCTGGTGATGTATCGTATCGTCTCGCTAACAAAGTATCGTTTTTTTCAAATTAGTTGTGAACATGAAGTAAAATCTATAGTTATGGAAAAATAAAATCAACTTGTTGTCCAGTGAGGTTGGCAGAGGTGACACCATGGAGCAGGAGAAATTAAGTGCAACAAATATAGCACCACCTGGGGGAAAGACATTAGGAATGCAAGCAGGGCACAAATGAGATGAACCTGATACATGAGGTTTGCAAGATGTGCTACATGAAAATAAAATAAGCGTATATAAGACAAACATAAAGGAAAAAAATTGCAATTAAATTGTATCATGGCCCATGTTATGATAATATTGTATTGTGGGGCCAATGGTGATTCCGACCCCTATTAATTAGTAACTCTTTGTTTGTGGAGCTTAAATTGTAAAACATCCAGTCTGTTCCTCGTGTTCATCTTTGGTCACTCTTCAGGTTAGTACATTACAGCTGAACTGAATAGTGGATGTCAGTGAATATTATTTTTTTTTTGGACAGCTTTGCCTAAGGTTGTCATGATGAAAGAATTTTAACAATACTGATACTTTTTTTTCCAAGCCAGGGTGACGAAAATGCACCAGATTTTTTTTTTTCTCCTTTTCTTTAATGCCATCTTTTCTTTACCTTTTTCTTTAATACCACCAGTGCTTGCACAGAAAAGGTCACTAAGCTTGCCCCACAGTTTGACATGCTGGTAATAGTAATAAGGAGGTGTAAGAAATAAAAGGTATAACAGGATTTTACTCAAACTAGTGACTTGGAATATTCCCCTCTGAATTATCACTCATAATCCAGACCAAGTGTGCGGAGATGATCCTGTAGAGAGCAGAGCAGCAGGCTGGATTAAAGCGCAGCTTCAGCTACCAACAAACAAAATCCAGATCCCTTCTGCACATCGATGAGGAGGCTTGGACATATCTATTAGTTCTTCAGAGCATGACCGCAATGAAGAAATCACTAAAGACATCTCTGTTTTCTGCTCGGTTGTCATTAATGGCGCGGGGTGCGTAGTTCAAGATAATAAGGCTTTTTGGTCCATTCTTCTGACAAAGTCAAGTGTCTGTCTTCCTCTGATGGTTATAAGGATTATCTTGGCCGATCTTCTTGTAGTCAGAGGTATGTGACTCTGACTACAAGATGGCTGCTAATTTTATTTATATGACTTTAATGATCCGAGTTTCAACATCAAGTAAGACTCTGATTATGTCTGAACCAGAGACTGTATATATTATGGACAACTTGGCTCCATCTTCCGTCACTATACAATACACTGGGAAGACAACTGGAGTCATACTAGTTCAAATGTTTGGTGTAGGGCTGGGGCGATTCGTCGACAAATTCGACGTAATCGACTACAGAAATTAGTCAACGCTTGAGTTGCATGATGACGTTATAATGGCTACTTCAGGTAATGGTGGAAAGCATAGACGACAAACAAGCTCCACCTAATGGGGGGATTAAAACCTACTTTAGCATGATCTATGAGCAGCTCCTCTAAATCAATGCATGTATTCTTCCTGGCTTCCTTGTTCACATTTCCAAGATCGCGCTGCTTTCAAGGAGACATGCAGTGACCTGTCAATCAAATCATCCACCGCTGTTGCAGCAAATGCCATAGTGGATGCTGCATCATACGCCCTGCATCCCATATCTAATTCATTCACTTTAAGCAGTTAGCTCAGAGTTGAAGCATCAGTTTTGTGCTTTTATTTGTCCTATAACTCGCTAATTGATTAGCTGTGTGAACGCCAACGATAGCTTGCTAATGCTAATACTCGGCGCACATGAGCTCCGCTGCACATATGTATACTGATACCATAATTGCCAACACTCCCGTTTTTCCCCGGGACTCTCCTGTATTTCAGACCTATCTCCCACCTGCATACATTTTTTTGCAGGATGGTAGGGGGAAGGTCGCGCCCTCCTTCGCCCCTGATTGGCTAGAAGTGCTGGGCTCTGATTGGTTATTCTTAATGTCTGTGAAACGTCATCGTCTGTCTGGTTGGGGTTAGGTTTAGGATTAGGATGAGGGTTAGGGTTAGAAGATTCAGAAGAGCGATAATGTTCTGTAATGTTCTGTTGGATGCACAGAGCTGACAGCCCGCATTTGGCTTGAGCGTGTGATGATCTTTCAAGCTTTTCTAGCCAATCAGAGGCAAAGGAGGCAGGACTTTCCCCTACCATCCTACAAAAAAAAAGTACTGCCTCCTACCCACCTCCCGTATTGTTATTTCTCCCGGAGATCTCCCGTAGTTTGATGGTCCACGTTCATTCATGAATCAGATCACTATATTTGTCCAAAGTTTCCAGGTTTGCAGACAACCGAAGATTGTCCTGTGTTTCTGCTGAGCCTCACAGACACTGGATTGATGCTTTTACTTTACAATTTGGGATGATTTAGGCCGGTTTAAGCTGTAAACTATATGTAAGCAGTGTTTGTTGCAAAATCAACACTTGAATAAAAGGGAAACAAATGTGAGATATAATATTTACGTTGATAGTCTTGCACCGTCTCTGAGTGATGCGTTCAGGGCAGCCACAGATAAAACAGTGCTGTATTGCACACACAAATGTCCAGAGAGCCTCATACGGAAGAGCATATAAAACATACGAGGACTTCCACAACAATATTAGTGGACTAAATAAGTTCAAGGTATATTGTAGCTATTATTTTTTTATTACCATTTGTTAATGTTAAAACAAAACAAAAAAGTGTGCAGCTTCACTTATACTTATTTGGATGAGCAATCTAATTACATATACTCTCATAATTAGCTCATATCCACAGTACAAGGTAATCCCAAAACTGCCCTGCGCGCACCGCAAAAATCTCCCCGATTTTATAACCAAATGTGTTTTTTTTGTTTGTTTGTTTGTTTTTATTTGATTTCAAGAGATTCTTAAATAAATCGTTGAATTGAATACTAATAGGAAAAGTTTTAATTGTTATTTTGGTTAAGTTCATTGGTATTACTCTGTGATAAAAAAAAAAATCATTAGAAAAATCGATTAAATTAGTCGATAGATTAGTGGACTAATCGAAAAAATAATCGTTAGATTAATTGATAAAAAATCAATTGTTAGGTGCAGACCTAGTTTGGTGTTTATGATCAGAGAGTGGAGGGTACAGACAGCCAGTCAGGAGGAAAAATAACTGAAGAAGGAAGGAGCTGTAGTGACAGCGTTAGATGGACATCAGAAAGGGAGAACCAATATGGTGATTTGTGGCAACAACACTATGGGTCAAGTAAACACACCACAGTGGAAAATGACAAGGACAGTAGTTTGACAGAAATTGCTACCACAGTAGATATACCAGGTAAATATGCAGCTAGCACCATTTATCTTGACAGCCACCCCATTCCTCTGTCGTCTTTGTTTTCCCTGAAGTGACAGTTCACCACCGGTAATCTTACGAGGCTTCAGTTTTGAGAGCAAAGACTCTGGTTGTTGGTGAGTGAATCTATTATGTCTGCATCCTGGTCAGAGCTGCCAGCATTTTCATCAGAAAACACTGTCTCCTCTTTGTGTTAGAGCACATGTCTGAATCAAAGTGCATTGAGGCAGATCAATGCCTCCTGAAAGCCAGAGCTCTTTTTTTCCCCTCCACAAATAACAGTGCTGCTGAGATTTGCTTCTCCATTAAAACAGCTCCACCTAAAGTGTATTGTGACTGATGACTCACTGATGCCTTTAGTCCAAAATGATGGAAAGCTTCAAGCTATGACTGTAACCTGTAGTCAAAGTAGAAACTGCCCCTGACAATCACAGCTCAATACAAGCTTAACTAAATCTCTAGTCATTTGATGGATAAAAACATTTTGCTTGTGACAAACTCTTTAATGGGAAAGTCCTTTATTGCTCCATTCTGAATCTAGACACTTCATGAAATGGCATGTCCTCTAGCCGTCACTTGTAGCTAGGGCTGGGCGATAAACCGAAGATTTATCGATACTGAAATTTACGACAATAACCAGTGTCATTTTGCCCATATAGGTATATTCGGTGTCACAAAAATAAATAAATCAAAGTTGGTTTCAGATGTGTATAGGTAGGCTATGGTCTCATGTCCCTTTAAGACGCTGTCCTACGTCAGAGACATGACTCAACCCCATCCAGTCCGTAACAAAGAGGGGAGGACAGGTTAGGAGATGGTTCAAACGTTGTAGCGGCTGGAGCGGCAGTTGAAGTAGATTAAGTTAATGTGGGAGGGGGTGAGCAGCTTGTGGAGTAGTTATCGTCTGTTTATTGTTATCGAGGTGAACTGCTAAATATATTGTGATATTGATTTGAGGCCATATTGCCCAGCCCCACTTGTCGCAACACACTACAAACAGGGAAGCAAGAGAGAAAAAAGAAATTCAGATCATAGAGATGCAGTCAGAAACTGTACCAAGTTCTAAACACATCACAGGCTGGTTTCAGGGGAAGAGAGGGACATGGCAAGTTCACAAACAGGAAATATGGGAATGTGTGAGAAGACAAGAGTAAGCAAGGTGGGGAAAGCATAGAGAAAGTGTTTGAAACTGTAAATAAGTCAGTGTACAGTGGCTAATCTATGACAGATATACCCCACTTCCTTCCACAGCACCGAAGAAAACACTGAAATCCCTCCATCGGTCATGGTGACAATGCTTTGTACTTATAATGTAGATTGTGTTGTTGTTTATAGAAGCTGAAATGGAGGCTTTGCTGAGGACACACTGTACATCTGAGATTGTCATAAGTTAGTTGTCCGGTGGTCTCAGAGGTGGCTGACTAATCTCACACTTCCTCTGTCAGTATTACTGCTGAGCACACTCATACATAAATGCAGTGACTCTCAAAACAAACTAAGACAGGCATTTTCCAGACTCACTTACTGGCGTACCTGCTGTTTGCTCTTCATGTGAATTCACTTGATTCAAAGCTTGTCCATGTGACTGGATATGACATGCATTTAAATGTGTGTTTGTTTTTGTGTGAATTTGTGTGTATGAACACTTCTTCAAACCTTTTTGCTCATCAAAGCAGATCTGAAGGCGTAAATGCATTTCCACACATACCAATCCATTGCTGTGATTTTAAATTTTGCTGAGCATGGAATTGTCCTGTCTCCTCCTCACCCCTAAACCCCATCCAGGCTTAGTCCAGAAGGTGGACCAGCGCCTTCCAGTGGCCAATGAGTATCTGCTGCTGTCAGGTGGGGCTCGAGAGGGAGTCCTAGACCTGAACCCAGAGGACTTAGGGGACTATGCCAGAGGAGCCGACTTTGACTTGGACTTCACCCTGCTGGTGCCCGCCCTCAAGCTCCATGACCGCAACCAGCCCGTAACCCTAGACATGCGACACTCTCCGCCCTGCCACTCCTGGCTCAGCCTCCGTCTCTGCGACTCCAGCATCATGTCTCGCTGGAGCATCTGCTGCCAGGAGGAGAATGGGCTTCACAATGAGGAAGATGAAGAGGAGGAGGGGGGAATGGGTGAGTGGTAAAAACAGAATAATAACATGAAAGGAGAAACTAGTGACAAGAAAGAATAAAAGGAGGAGCAATAAGGTGAAAAGATAAAGTTAGAACAAGAAGACTGGCAGAAGAAAACAGATAAGTAAAAAAGGAGGATAAAAAAACAGGATTTATCTGAATCACTTTAATTTTCAACAACTTAAATTAAAAATTTGGGTTCTTGTGCCGCTGTTTTTGTAGTAATGGTGGTCTTATATCTAGGATTATTGATATTATTAATATTTAGGCATTTATACAGCCAATAAAATCATTGGCAAACCATAAATGTCACTTAATGACCTTGATGCACTGGATACTAAAAAGAAAGGTGAGATTACAGGTGACTTTTCCACTGTAGTCTCACTTTGAATTACTTCTGTCAATAAGACGCTTCAGTCTGTCACGCCACCAAAAATGTTAATGAAATCCTTTCATCCTGTGGGCGGTAACATGATTATGTAATTAAATGTTGAAGTTCAAGTTAACTTTTCACTCCTGGCTGTTGATGAAATAAGTTTTTTTCTTAATTTTAATTTTCTTATTTTTGGTCCAGTCAGGACTTGAAATGTTGTACTCTGTGTTTGTGGATCAGGTGGAGTAGAGTGACTCTGGGCCCTCTTTAAGTGTCCACTTTTGTATGTTTTTCTGATTTATGAGTCATTTTGTTATTTTGCTGTTAAGCTGAAGACAGTTTTTCACATGGTGGACATATAAAGTTAATTCATTCATTAGTTGTAAGTATAGGTACATCTCCACGAGTTGAACTAACTAGCTAAAAAGAACTAACCACTAAAAAGTTGAATTGAAAAAAGGGTAAACTTTTATATATTCTATACTCATTAAATAAATAGAAAGAAATATGTTAGGCCTGTTTCGTATAGATTTTGATAATTGCATCAAAGTTAGAAATACAGTATCTTGATGTGTTAGGATATTTCCTCAATGAATCCTTTATTAATACAGAGATGTCTAACTTTTGGAAAATATACTAGTCCATACATTCAGTACTTGTTTTGGGGTCCTTCATTGGAGGGTCTGAAAGCGACCAGCCAGACCAGTGCTGCTGAGGTGTTATTGAAGCCCATGTTGCTTTAATGCAGCCTTCAGCTTGTCTGTATTTTTTGGTCTGGTGTTTCTTACCTTCTGCATGTTAATACTTTATAGGCTCTTATGGGATTCAGGTCAGGTTACTTGGCTAACCAGTCAAGCGGAGAAATGTCATGACCAAAAAATCATGTCATAAAAATGTAGGTGTTGTGGGTGAGTGTTAATTCCTGCTGAAGAAGTACATCAGCATCTCCGTAAAGTTCTCCAAAATCTCTTGGTAGACAGCTGTGTTGTGTTTGGACTTGGTAAAACACAGTGCACCTACACCAGCAGATGGCATCACACCTGAAATCTTTGTATACTCCAAATCTTCACACTGGTCAACAAACTCCTTAGACTCTGTGCCTGAACACACCAACTTCAGACTCTGGGACCTTGACTTTCAGATGAAATGAAAGATTTGAATCCTCTCTAGTCCGCAGTCATCTTGGTTACTTTTTGCCTCTCAACACTCTTTACCTTCCAGGACACTCACCATTAACATGCTTTGATACTGCAGTCCTTATCAGCAATAACCTTCTGTGTGGCTTACCCTTGCTGTGAAGGTTATTGATGATTGTCAGCTGAACAGCTCTCTAGATAGCAGTCTGACTCAAATATTCCAGGAAAGAGGAATATCACTGTGTTATAAAGGATATTATATAGGATAGAGAGGTTATGCATGCTGGTTGAAAACAGGCAAGAGTTTGAACAAGGTCTGCAACATGAAGTTATCTTTTTTTTTTTTTTTTGTCAAACTGTTGGGAAAAAAAAAAAAAGATAATACCCAGTACAGATTGTTGATTCACTGCATTCAGTGGTTTCACACCAGACCATCGTTACATATGAACAGATGCCATCAGCTTCAAAGATACCCCCTAGTTCATAGAACTATCATGGGCAGATGAACAGATAACCTTAAAACTTAATGTCCTTGGCAAGGACTGTTGCCAAACCAGCAGAAAAATGGCAGAAATACATCCAAAAAACAGAGAGAAATCTGTGTAACAAGTTAAATTTCAAGTATGTGGTCCAACTGTGGTGAGCTCTGCTTGAATTCTCAAAACTTAAGGCTATAAACAAACCAAAGTTTGATTTCAGTACCAGCAGTTTGTATAAAAAGGACTGTTATCGTTTTGTTTATCAGGTCTACATTCATACCAGTTCTTCCGCCCTTCTTAGGTAAAGGCTCCATCCCCTCCCTGGGCTCTCCTCAGTCTCTAGATGGCTGCTACTTCTCTCCCACCTTGGTAACAGACTGGTTCTGGGGGGTTGTAAGTGAAGCTGTGGAGGAGCTGAGGCGCAGCCCACAAAGAGGCATCCCAATCCCAGACCGACTGGAGAGGAATGGACCCCTTACCACTATCATCCTCCAGGTACAGATGACAACAGTTAGCAAGACACTTAAACACTGAGAAGACAGAGGCAGTCGGCCTCTTTATATCTGAGTGCGTAATGAATATTTAAAATCACCCCTGGGGTGTTTTCTTTAAACAAAAAAGTTCATACTGAGTGCTTATTACCCAAGTTCACTGTGTTCATCCTAAAGCAGAGACACATTTTAAATTGATTAAATTCTGCTGTCTTTTTTTTCTATAAAGCTTTTTAACTCCACAGGAGAACAAGAACTCTGCAAAATACCTGCAACTTTTGATCTTCAAATGAGCTCCAGTGAGGGGTATTTAGTTAGCTATGAAAAAAATACATGTCCTACTAAAGCAAACAAGACCATCGGTGACAAGACTTTTTCTATTAAGTTATTGTTTAAATGGATATATTTGGTGTAGATTTAAGTTATGGTCAATCACACCGTAACACAGAGTTAGACACCCCCTTGAGAGATGAATGTTGCCGACTAATTGCTTCTCTAGTTATACCAACTTCAGCAACGACCGCACGATAGCAATACACAGCAGTCTATGTCTGTACCCACCAACCTCACTGAGTGCAGCGGAAAATGTATGATTATTACTTCATGAAAATGCAATCAGACTGAGACGCTAAAGCAGAGCTACTGTGTCTGCAGTGCACATACAAGATACACAAGAACTCTGATTGCATTATACCATAACCATAACATAACTACGCCAGAATATCCCTTTAATGCCTGTGTCTGCTGCCACCCGGACAGAATCAGACAAGGTGATTAACGGCATCCAGTTGTGGCTGCCTTTGTTTACATTTACAGCAGCAAAGATCCACAGTGACTGATGTGCGAAGCTGGAATAATAGGCCAGGATAAGGGATTTTAGTTTAAAAATACTACCTACCTACGCTAGCAAAAAGATAAAAGGTCCTGGTTTGAAGGGTTGTCAAGATCAAAACCGTCGTTCTTCCCCCTGGCTTTGAAGAGAACTTTGTTTGTGAAGTCAAATCAGCATTGGAGGTGACTGAAGTTAGGTGTTTAAAAAAATCAGGCCCCTGGGAAAAAAAATGATGGTAAGAGGAATTGAAATTCAGGACAGGGTTTGTACTGCCCTAATGTTCTCCCATCCCTCTCTCTGCAGGCGGGCTCCAGCCGCGTACTGTACGATCTGCTGCCTGTGGTGTCATTCCGGGGCTGGCCTGCCGTAGCCCAAGGCTGGCTGACAGCCAACCACTTCTGGGATGGTAAAATCACAGAGGAGGAGGCCATATCTGGTTTCTATCTGCTGCCCTGCTGCTCCCCTCTGGGTGGTCGACCTGACAGGGAGTGGAGGCTGGCTTTCTCACGCAGTGAGGTGAGGGGATTGTAAATGTGATTCATGTTCAGCGCCATGTCCAATGTCAGCCTGTGTTTTGTCAAAATGATCAATACAGCATTTCAATCTCGTACTTATTTTTGTTTTCCAATATTGGATTTCGGTCAGGACCAGGTAAGTGAAAGAGAGTTATTATTTGTATGCAATAAGTTCCATGTGGCAGTTTGGCTCTGTTCTTAGAACTCCACCGGCATGTGGAATGGCATCACCTGAGGCAGGGGCAACACATGTCCCCTGTCCTTCAGTTGCAATCATGACAAGCCAAGGCAGAGAGAGCAGCTGCAGATATATCTGGAGTAGAACACAGAGCTATCATCATTGTCAAAATCAGACATACATAATAATCATATTAAAACCACTCCATTGCTCCTGTTTGTTGTTTTTTTTCTCTTTTATTCTAGGTTCAGTTGAAGAAGTGTATCCCTTTCCCCATGGCCCAGGCTTTCCAGGCAGCCAAAGCAGTGTTGTCTCGTATCCTGGCCCGCCCACGCACAGGCCTAAGCCTCTATCATCTGCGTACTCTTCTGTTCTGGGCCTGCGATCGACTCCCTGCTGCCTACTTGTCTTGTCCTGACCCTGACACACCTGGACGCCTCCTCCTGGGTCTCCTTGATGACCTGGCTCATTGCATCCTGGGCAAAAACTGTCCAAACTACTTCCTTCCCCAGTGCAACATGCTGGAGCATCTGACAGACAGCCAGGCGCTACTTGTCGCCAGGAAACTTGCCCATGTACGCTCAGATCCCAGCGAGCACTTGAGGGCAGCTCTGGACCAGGCACAGCAGGCCGGTCAGCTGAAGAAGGAGCTAACAGCTAGCACCAACGGCCATGGATCTCCAGGGCACCACCCAGCTAACGGCATCATTTCGCCTTCGGAGGACAAACTGGCACAGCGGCTGCAGCAGCTGGTCACTGAGAACCCCGGGAAATCCATATCTGTCTTCCTCAATCCAGATGATGTCACCAGGCCGCACTTCCGGATTGACGACAAGTTTTACTGATGAAGATGTGCTGTTGAAAAAACGTGGAGATGGATGTGTGTTAAGCCCTTAAACACACCTTGAATTGCTCTGAGACATCAGTCCAGAGATTAAAAATGAGGCAGGAGATGATCTTCTAAACTCCTTCACTCTCCTTCATCTGTTTTTCACCCTAAGGCTGAGCAGAGCAACAGAGCCTTGCTGCTTGACTAACTATTTACACCAAAAACACTCAATGTCCTTCTACTGACAAAAGACGTCCAAATGCGAGGACGTAGCACAACAGACAGTGATGTCACTCAGCTGTTGCCATGGAGATGGCCCTCTCCTAACGAGCTGGCCTTAACGAGACTTAACAGCTGGTGCTACAAAAATGAGGGCCAGCTTTAGTCATGTGGAAGAAGTCCAGTGGAGATAGAGAGAGTGTGTGTGTGTGTGTGTGTGTGTGTGTGTGTGTGTGTGTGTGTGCCTAAGGGTTTTCACAATACTAAACACTTCTAAAGAGAGTCGGAGAAACACTCCTTGATTGCTGCATTTCTCCCCTTTTTATTTCAGATCAGAGTGGGCGATGGTGGAATCAGAAAGGAAAAACAAGGTGTGGCTGATGTAACTGAATGTAATGTTGTGAGGAGAACTGCCGAGTCTTTGAACAAAAAGAGTCTCTTTTCTCTGTCAACTACATTTTTAACCCACTTCATTTCACCCCCACGCCTTGATTTATGGCATGATTTCTTAAAAAAAAAAAAAAAATCCTCAGGTATTCATGTTTTTTATTTTCGTTTTCATCACTGTAATTTCAATGCCGCTTACTTTACATTGGGTAATGGAATGTACCAAAGAGGTTTTAAAAAGAGAACAGAACAAGTCCCACATATCCCTTAACATCAAATGTATCTACCGACTCATGGTCACAATGTTAATTAACCTTTTCTCCTTCAAGAGGCCTGGTCGCACCCACATTTAAAGCACCAGAATTTCTCAACAGAGTCACTTAATTCCCACGGATTCATCATCATAAGTCGATTTTCTCATTCAGCACTGATGCTTGAAGAAACAGAGATTTTTACAGCCAAAAAACAGGAGACGCTATTAGCTTATTGGCTGCCTGTTTTTTTTCACCTTCTTTGAGTTTAAACAGCTTTCAGAAAGGTGGTTTGCAGAAAGTTATGAAACCAGACTTAATGGTACAATTACAGCTCTCAGAAATAGAGCATGAACTTATTAACTCATCCCCTTAGTGGCTTGGCTAATGAGTTTTTTTTGGTGCTTAAGCAAGAAGTTTCAGACTTGCACTGAGCCCTCTCTGTGTTTAAGAACTCTTCATTAAATGGGATGATCTTTAGGTCAAAGTGTTAGGGTTGCGGAAACAGTTTGTTGTGCAAAATCGACTCCTCGAATCCTGAAATTCCGCAGCTTTTTTGCTTGTATGTCAATGGCATGTCTATTGCAGGATTTTGCACTTGCAGAGAAAAAGAACAGCCTTATTAAAAGCTGAAAAGTCTCTTCTTTGCTATTCAAATCAAATCTGCCCCTTCACAGAATGTTATGAATGAATAATTTACATGCACAGTGTTTGAGATTTAGCTGCCCAAAGTGCTGCTTTTGTGTAAAGGAACAACAAAAACAACAATCGTTGTTCTGGTGTCTGTTGCATACATATCCATGTGGACCCAGCTCCCTATAGAGGCTCAGGAGAGAGGTGGTGTGCAATTGTTCAAACTGGCTTTGGCAGCATAAACAGTGCATCCGGAAAGTATTAATACCACTCCACTTTTTCCACATTTCGTTATGTTACAGCCTTGTTCCAAAATGGATCAAAGTCCCTTATTCCCTCAAAAATTCTACACAAAATACCCCATAATGACAAAGCGAAAAACTTTTTTTTAGAACATTCTGCAAATTTATTAAAAATAAGAACACTCAAATGTTGCATATACATAAGTATTCACACCCTTTACTCAATACTTGGTCGAAGCACCTTTGGCAGGGATTACAGCCTCCAGTCTTCTTGTGTACGATGCAACAAGCTTGGCACACCTGAATTTGGGGAGTTTTTCCCATTCTTCCTTGCACATCCTCTCAAGCTCAGTGAGGTTGGATGGGCAGCGTCGGTGCACAGCTACTTTCAGGTCTTACCAAAAATGTTCAGTCAGGTTCAAGTCTGGGCTCTGGCTGGGCCATTCAAGGACATTCAGAGACTTGTCCTGAAGCCACTCCTTTTTCTTCTTGGCCGTGTGCTTAGGGTCATTGTCATGCTGGAAGATGAAGCGTCGCCCCAGTCTGGATTGCTCTGGAGCAGGCTTTCATCAAGGATTTCGATGTACTTAGCTGCATTCATTTTTCCCTCGATCCTGACAAGTCTCCCAGTTCCTGCTGCTGAAAAACATCCCGACAGCATGATGCTGCCACCACCATGCTTCACTGTAGGGATGGTATTGGCGAGGTAGTGAGCGGTGCCTGGTTTCCTCCAGACACGACGCTTGGCATTCAGGCCAAAGAGTTCGATCTTCGTTTCATCAGACCAGAGAATTTTGTTTCTCCTGGTCTATGAGTCCTTCAGGTGCCTTCTAGCAAAGTCCAAGTGGGCTGTCATATGCTTTTTATTGAGGAGTGGCTTCTGTCTGGCCACTCTACCATAAATGCCTGACTGGTGGAGTGCTGCAGAGATGGTGGTCCTTCTGTAGGGTTCTCCCATCTCCTCAGAGGAACGCTGGAGCTCTGTCAGAGTGACCATCGGGTTCTTGGTCACCTCCCTGACCAAGGGCCTTCTCCCCCGCTTGCTCATTTTGGCTGGGCGGCCAGCTCTAGGAAGAGTCCTGGTGGTTCCAAACGTCTTCCATTTCTTAATGATGGAGACCACTGTGCTTTTTGGGATCTTCAATGCAGCAGATATTTTTCTGTAACCTTCCCCAGATCTGTGCGCCGATACAACCTTGTTTCGGAGGTCTACAGACAATTCTTTCGACTTCATGGCTTGGTTTGCGCTCTGACATGTTCTGTCAGCTGTGGGATCTTATATAGACAGGTGTGGCTTTCCAAATCATGTCCAATCAGCTGAATTTGCCACAGGTGGACTGCAATCAAGTTTGAGGAACATTTCAAGGTTGATCGGTGGAAACAGGATGCACCTGAGCTCAATTTTGAGTTTTATAGCAAAGGGTGTGAATTCTTATGTATATGCAACATTTGAGTGTCTTATTTTAAATAAATTTGCAAAATGTTCTAAAAACAAGTCTTTCGCTTTGTCATTATGGGGTATTTTGTGTAGAATTGTTGAGGGAAAAAAGGAATTTAATCCATTTTGGAATAAGGCTGTAACATAACAAAATGTGGAAAAAGTGAAGTGGTATAAATACTTTACGGATTCTTTTTACTGGAGAAATGTGAAGTATTATAGATATCATCCTGATGTAGTTTGGTCATTTATATTTATGATATTTGATGTCATGCACATTTATGATATTTCGGCTCCAACACTTGTGGACTAATAAATCAATCAATCTTAAGACGTCACTTTACAATAAAGATTTTTAAAGTCTTATATTTATCCAACAGTGACCAATCACAGTTAAAAGATGACAAAGTCAACTTCAAGGCTGTCATTAAGCTTCTATAACCAAAAATGTCACCTGTCAGTTGGATGAGCTTTTTCAGCTTTTTCATGTGACCAGGCCTCTGAAAACAGGACTGAAAAAGATGATTAGTCAGTTATTAAGCTAGTTGATTGTTTCATTGTTTTCTACTAAAAACTGTTTTTTTTCTGTCTTAATGCTGAGAACTACGTGGAACTCGTTCAAGTTTTTTAGATTTAGTTTTTGTATCTAACCTGACATTTTGGTGTGTTTGCAGTCTGGTGGGGGGATCTCTAAATGGGGCTTTAGAAATATGAGCTTTTTTGCAGAGGATTGGAAATCAAATGATCAAAAATGTTATTGATCAAGTTAACAAAAGGTGTGATTGAACAAAAGGAGGAGCTGTAAAGTTAAGGCTGGTTTGCCAGAATAGTTTAGAGAAAATCATGATACCCCACTGTTTGCTCAGTACATCATGTTTTTTCATCATGTAAGCATGTCAGTCCTCTTTTCAGTTCAAGAAAGTCACAGTTTCTTGTGTTCCCTTTTGGTTCTTTTTGGAAACTGGTTCTAACTTGACTGATTCTGGTAATTGTCCCCTGTCTCCTCTGCTCGACTGGTCCTTTTTAATGAGCTTTGTGTCCGTGTGTGTGTGTGTGTGTGTGTGTGTGTGTGTGTGTGTGTGTGTGTGTGTGTGTGTTTTCAACAAGAGACGAAACCACACAGCAGGACACGGACAGACACCCAGTTGCTAGCCAGTGAATTATACCCTCAGTGGGTGTGTGTTAGTCGCTGGGTCCTATCATTTCTTTCCAGACGGGAGTCGTCCCTGGGGAGGAGGGATGGATGGATGGATGGAGGGAGGCAGGCCCTCCTCTGGTCCTTTGAAGAGGGAAGATGGGCCTTGCGGGGCCTGGATGACTGCCTCTCTCTGGGACTGTCGCTGTTTTTCTCTGCTTTTTATTTGCTGCTTTCTGTCTCTCTAACTCGCTTTATTTTTCTCTCCTTTATGACTCTGATTCTTTCCGCCCTCCTCCCATCACGACTCTGGCTCAGCTTTATGTCTTTGAAAACTCAAGGTCTGGTGCAATAGAAAGCTCCTGAACTTGGTACCGGTCCAGTCGTATGACTAAGAGCAGACTAGCATTAGTGGTCTTTTGTGGTCTTGCATTAATATCACGAGGAGGGTCTGTCTTGTTTACCTATATGCATTTGAGGTGTTTAGTTGGCTACGCAGGTGCAACTCAAAAAATTGTGATATGGAAAAGTAATCTTTTTAACTAGTTTGATTGAATAGGGTAAACTGTGTCACTCCATTTCATGCAAAGTCAAAATTCTGGGGCTTTTTATTCTTTTTTTGATGATAGTGGATTACAGCTCATGAAAATCAAAAATCATGGTTTAAAAGTTGGAAGAAAATTTCTCTAGATCAGTCAGAGAAAATATTTACAATATAGAAATGTCAAACTACTGAAAAATTTGTGCATTGATGTACTTAATATTTAGCTGAGACTCCTTACTATGAATGAACTGCATGAATACGTTTTGGATGGTCCGTGGACATTCTGGTGTTTTATTGAAGCCCAGGTAGCTTTCTTCAGCTCAGCACAGGTACTTTTGGGTCGTATGTTTGTCACTGTCCTTATGATGTTACTCATTTATGATTATGGGGTTCAGGTACAGATAGCCAGTCATGCATAGGGATATGGTAAGAGAGCCATTTGCTGGAAATTTTGGCACTGTGGGCAGGTGCTCAAGAGAAAATAAGCATCTTTATAAACTGAAGATCCCATCAGTTTGTGAGCTGATGGAAGGTTGAAGTGCTCTGTTACCAAGGTCTTGACAGATGTTAGTTCTGATAGTAGTTCTGATACAGATTATTATTAATGAGACGTATAACCAGTCTTTAGAACTGATATGTTAACCATAAAAATGAAAGTCTTACCATCAAAAATTAGAAGTCTGAGCATGTCAAGCTTCAATACAAAACTTAGCTAAATATGCAGAATTGAACCTTTAACTTTTCATATTTATCAGAACAGAAACATCACATGAACATGTGACATCCAGCCAATCAGGTAAGGCTTCTTATTGCGGGCCGGACAGTAGGTGAGACCAAGCTGTTCCAGAAAACAAATGATTTTTGTTTGTTTGTTTTACTTTCGAGCTGCAGATCGATTATCATCAAAACTGGAACATAAAAATGCTTGAAACCTTTTCAGTTTTTACATAATAAGCTTTGAATTTAATATTTTTTTCAAACTTTTTGAGAAGTGATAAAAAAATATTAGATCTTTTTTCCACTGTATTCTAATTTTTTGTGCTGCACCTGTATATTTCCTGTACAGGTAAACAAGCTGATGGGTAAACTTTGATTTATTTATGTTTACCAGACACTAAAATGCTGCTGCCAGTGTTGGTGAATAGGCAGGGTAAAAAACAAAAGCACAAGATTGGTCACAGTTATGTTTACAAAGTGATGATGATGGTGAACTTTTGTTCTTTTAAAGGTGCTGTTGGGTTGTTTTTTGCTTTAGAAAGTTAACACTTTGAGCTTCTTGTAACAGTTCCTGCTCTCATTTTTATGTGCTTACTACTGGATGAATGTTTCACAGCGTCTGTCTGTACCAGTGTTGTGTGTGCGACTGTGAATCAAGGAAAACCAAAGTGTGCTGTGTAGGTGGTACAGAATGTCCAATCAGCTGATGGTTGTGTATTTTTCAGCACTTTTCCAAGACACGCTTCGATGCACGTTTCCTAAACTGGCAAAGTTTGAGGTGGTTGGAAAGAAAGCATTTATTTATTGAGAAGCTCAAATTAATGTGGAGGTACTTTCTCTTGGCTCACTTGATTGATTAACTGAGAGTGTTGGAAGTGTCAGTGTGTCTCACTTTGTACTTTTATGGGTCTAGATAGAGATTACTAGACACTGGAAATGATCACTGTTTTCCTGAATTGTACACATTGAATCTGTGTGGAGAAAAGCAAACCTTGTGTTGTACAATAGTATCAGTTTTTACACGTGCAATCAAGCCCCCTTCTGGAAAGATCCGTGAAAATGGACTTACTGAAGATGTACTGTATTTGTGCAAAGATGAAGCTGCTTTTGCTGTCCAGGGTTTGCATGGAACACAGACAACACTCCCGGCATTGATCTTCACTCTCTGCTACTCAAGTTTGTAATCACTGCAGTGTTATTTTTACGCTGAAACTTCTGATAGTTCTGTTTGAGATTGCTTTAACTTCTGCAGATTAAAGAAAAAAAAAACACACTGACCAAAACAATGAATGTATCAACCATATCTCTGTAATCTGTTCCCTACTTGAGAACATATCAAAAGTGATTTCTCACTGTTATCAGAACACTTGCACTCCGGGTCTGTGCTGCTCAAGTGCTGAGATAAAAATCTGTACTGAATCACTCCACAGTTTGAGAAATTGGATTTCATATCTCTTTTATGACTTGATTTTTTTTTTTTTTTCAAACAAGTGCAAATTACTTTCTCTGTATCATGTCACTACTGATTTGCTGTATTTATTTCTTACTTTTTGGGGGTTTATATTTGATCAATCTTACAGCTTTAGCATGAAATAAATCACTGCATTTAAAATCCCACAGTGTGGAGATTCATTTAATGAACATGCAACATGATTCTCTATCCAGTTGTCACAAGAAAAGCTGTCTTTCACCCATTTTTGCCATGTCTGTGGCTTTTTTAGTCAAGCTGCAGTTTATCTTAAGTCCAACAGAGGGTGCTCTGACACAGTGTTTGTGCTGAGTGTTTTCTGCTCCGTCACACTGTTGAGAGAGTTAGAGCATACTCCAGGTTGTCTCTACACACACTCTCGCCTGCTTTGAGTCTCAAACATCAACTTAGGGAATGTCAGTGCAGAACTGGCTCTCATTATCGACTGGATCATACCACAGTCTAACTTCATATAAGGGATTTTCTTACATTTTTAACTACCATGATAAATCTGATCAATTCAATTACTCAGGTCACTGTAGCTCAGTAAGCACAAAAAAGGGAGCATAATCATAATGTGAAACTTAATTAACGGAGAATTATTTCCCCTTGTATGATCTAGCCAGAGGTCAGGGTCATGACTGGCATTTTGCTGACACAGCACTGATTATTGCTGCAAATCTGCTTGAACAATCTCATGCTGCAGAAATGCATCACGCTCTCTATTTCACCATAGTCTCCAAACAAGAGATACAACACCAAAATATACTACAGTTATGCTATCTTAGTTGTTAAAAACATACATTGACCACTTGAGAGAGAAAGTAAACTTACCTGAACACTAAGGGTTTTGACAGTTTTTAAGTAAACCAGAATTACGGATGCTGAATATGACCCTCAAAATCAAACAATAACATCAGAGAAAATGCTTTTTCAGCTGGCTGAAAACAGCTCTTCTATATGCCTGTCACTAATGTCTCACTGTAAGTGTCCACCAGGCAATTAACAGCATGCTGCTTAAACAGCCAGATAGATAGATAGATAGATAGATAGATAGATAGATAGACTTTATTGATCCAAAACTGGGAAATTCATCGTCCATCCCAAAGATTCCTAATCAATTGGAGACATATGTTAAAAATTGAGGAAATTTAGATTTTTTCTGCAAATGTTTTCCTTAAAATACTGTAAATTCACCAAGAGCCAAGATGCTTTGTCCAGATTGAAGCAACATGAAAATTCCTCAATACAGCTTGAAGTAACTTCAGTGTCTTTCCTCATATCCTGAAATTTTCCAGAATTTTTACAACATTTCTGGTTCACACACATCCCTCAGAACAGGACCTTTCCCATCTTACAAGAGATGTTGGGATGTATTTATACTCATGGTCTATATAAATGGAGAACTGTGGAAGCATCTTTACTGTTCTTATCTTTAAATTGGTTGTCTTGCCTTAGCCTTTTTATTCACTAAACCACATATTAGTCTTCTGGTTTTACCATGTATGAATACAGTCCTACAAAACATTCTCCAGTGTATCTCAGGGATAGTCAAATCTGAGTTTACTCGGGTTACCTGAAATTGATCATGGAGTACCCTTAGCTGTTGTCAGTTTAAAAACTGTCTTGATGCCAAGGTACAATTTTAATGCTGCAAGAGGTGGAACATTGTATTTTATGCTTTATTCACACACACACAAAAGTCCTAGAAACTTCTCAAATGTTTCATGTGTGGACGTAAATGGCTGAAAACATTAACCCTGAATTTACCCCAGTTTTTTTTTTAAATGTATTATTTATTTTTTTATTTTGTCTTCTAGTAAAAAGATACTTTAGCAGTCAGTGACACAAAACATTTAATAAAATCTCTTTCTGCTTTTCTGACTATTTTTTTTCCCTAACTAAGCAAGATACTTCAAAATCCTGTGAGAATCTCATACAATCACCCACCCTGGCTACTCCAAATCAGCGGATTCTCCAGCTCCTAGATAACTTTGACTACGAGGTTAGTGACGATTCCATTTGTTTGACTTCAAGAAAGGAGCATCTCCTAGTGTCTCAAACCCAAAAGAAAGTAAAACTTGATTAAACTGAGCAAGTGGCCCATGTTTGCTTTCAATAAACTGAGCAGAGGGGGATGAAAACATCTGTTCTTAAATGATCATGATCCTAGAGAATAGGCAAAAACAATAAGTCTGAAATTACCCCCCCCCCCCCCCAAAAAAAAAAAAATAAAATAAAATAAAATAAAATAAAATCAGAAAAACAGAAAAAAAGGAGGCATGAAAATATTTTACATAGTATAAAATGATGTGTTATCAAAAATAATTCACAATGAACTAAATTTTTGACATGCAAAGATATTTTATTGTTTAAAATAACAGAAGTTTATTCATTTATTTTTAATTTTATTAATTGTTATGTTTTTTGCATACACTGAGGTTTCTGTTTAATGAAAAGCAGGCAGGGGCGATAACAATATCATCCAGCAGCTGCAAACCAGAAGAATGAGATGTAGTAAGATGAGGAATAAAAACCAATGGGGTTAAGTAAGAAATATAATTTCTATCAGGACAAAGTGAGCAAGAATATCTCATCAGCTCTCTGTCTGCATGTAGTGATGATAAAAAATTCAGAAATTGTCACAGTAACATATAGTGTACATCCGATTAATTGTTTACCAACTGTTGTAAACTTAAGTCTGCAGCTTCTGCATCATGCTTTTGATGTCCTCTCCTTCCTCATGAGACCCAACCCAACTACATCCCACTCAGTTTAGGGGGAAGAGCTTCTGATTATTTCTGGAAAATTTTAGAAGTTCATATGTGGAGGAGGCTAAGGGAGACTAAATTAATACTCAACTCTGCGTCACCTTCAGTGGAACATATTTTGGAGCCATCTTGGGCCATTGATCGATGACACAGTCCCTGACTTATTTGAAAAACATACTCTAGAAATTAGAGGCATGTTAATCCTCTGCATAATGTTTAATAATGTAATACAAACACTTATTTATTCATTGGGCAGTAATTGAACAAATTCATATAAATCGGTTTAAATAAAAAAAGGCAGTAGACTTTTTTTTTTACAGAGATTATGTTAAACCGATCTACATATTGCAGCAGTTGTAGTTCTTGGTAAGGTTTCTATAAACACTCTCAGCAAAATCTGCTGCTGTGAATGTGCAGAGAACATGATATACTGTTGGCCTGTGTCCCCAGGCTAACCCTGACATTTCGACATAATCAGTCATTGTCTGTCATTACTTATGTGATGATGGCACAGATGTTTTTGGTGCAAACACACATCATATCAGTCTTTACTAATACCCTCACCACATGCACACACAGACAGACACAATCTGCTATGTCTATTAAGCAGATTATGAGGATGAGGACATTGTTGGATTGTGTGAGTTACAGATGTGTGTGTTCACACTCTGACCTCATGATTTAATGAGATGATTAAATATTTTCCATTTCCCCTTGGACTGGCCACATATTGGCTTAGTTTTAAATATATCACTTCCTGTATGGGATTTTCTTTTAGTCATGTGTGCCACTGTGTCAAATGGATAATCCTCCTCTGATCCAGAATAAATAGCTCTTCAGATAGTGACTGATAGTCAGGATCAGTGTATTCAGCTTTTCATATTTACATATACACTTTCCTGGACAATGTCAGGAACATTACAGGACAGTGGCGCACGTTTATAAGAGGCTTTGGACTTTACATCACCAGTTGACCACAGAGATAGGTCTGAATGAAGTATAATCTGCTAATGAACATATGTCACTGGACTTGATAAACTGACCCAAAGCTAGAGGTGGCAATACAAGTAAATCGCTATAATATGTTCCCTGAAATTTTCTCCAGATATTGATGAAACATGACTGGGGAAAATAGAAGAGGAAATAGTGTCCATGGCCTGTGTCACAGGTATTGGGTACATTTGTTCTCTCATTTCTGCCTCCATTGAAACAATCTGATGATGAATATGGATTTTAGCATATACTTTACATTAAAAGATTCAGAGAATCTGGAGAAATCTCTGTACAAGGGATCGAGGTCAAAAGTCACTCCTGGAAGGCCATGATCATCGGGTCCCCAAGCAGCAAAACATTACAAACAGATATGACTCTGTAGTGGAGGTCACTGCATTAGTTCAAACAGACCGTCGTGGGATTTTTGCTCAAACAGTCACAATACAGTGGAAAACACAGGCGTTGTCAGAAAAATGTAGGGATGGTGATTCTTTACAGACAGCTTTCCAAGGTGCAGTGCAAAAATATTTACAAAAGCTGCAAAAAAAATAAATGGTCAATACACTTTTTATGAAATGCACAAGGCAAAAAGAAAGAAATAAAGAAGGAAATGCCAATAGGGCAAGAGTTCTGCAAAAACCCAAAGATTTTCACTCAGTTGCCTTCAGTCAGTGCAACAAACTCCAGACTGACTGATCGGCCCAGGCAGCCTTCTTTGAAGCCCCCACAGCCCCTCCCAGTGGGCGTTATTAATTAAGTTTGGAGAAAACAAATTTTATTCACATTTAAGCCATTTTTACTCTTTTAAACCTTCATACCTTTGACTGTAAGTTTTTACCATTTTAATCAGGTTTGAAATAGGGGGTTGTGGCTTTAAATGTTAAGCTATGACAATGAGACCTTACTCTTTCCCTGATACTGTCTTTGAAGCTTGTCCTGCACCACCACATAACTACTTTCATATTGTAGCTAAATCTTAATATTGGTTGCTGACCCTAGTTTAATGAAGTTAAATTATTCTATTTCGTGCCATTATACTGTTTGTTGTATGACATACAGGGCTTGGCGGTTGGAGGTAGCCACATCCCTTCATCCTTGGCCTGAATTTTTCAGTAAAGATTTTATTTATTTAACCAGATAAAAACACATTGAGATTAAGATCTCTTTCACAAGGGTGACCTGACCAAGAGGTCAGCAGCACAGGCCATGATTCAGTTTCCATTAGTTTTATAAATGTCATGCTCATGAACTCAGATGGTTTTGATATATGGCTCAGTTTAGCTGCAGTCTGACCATTACTACTCACTGGCTTTTTATATCATCTATTTTTAACACTGAATGGAAATGGCAAGAGAGGATAACCCTGAAATGGTGTTCAGTAAAAGAAATGATCAATGTTTACAGGCAAATATATGACTATACCTTTATAAAC